CGGGCTTTGAAATTAGTTAATTTTGCTTGGAATAATTACTGGCAAGAAAGGAGCTGACGTGTTCTTTCCGGAGGATAAATTGCTAGCAGATTTATAAACACTCTGCATACCCAGAGTCGTGAGGTAACGACAGCGAAATATTACAGTTTCCACGTTTGCTTCCTTCAAAAATTAAAACTTTACCTGTAAGCAGCAACTCGTGGGGCACATCGCACTGAGACAAAGAAATTGTGAGGCTCTTTCTTTAAAATGAATTTTAGACCATTACACAGATCTAAATACTGCGGGGAAAACCGAAGGGTTTGGGTCTGTTTTGTGGGTTGGTTTTTCTTTCAAGTTACAAAATTCTTCTTCTTGTAGCTTAAAACTGAGCAACTCAACACAGATGTCGCTATAAATGCTTGTGCGTTTTGTTTTCCTTGTAGGAATCCGTTTGTTCGCTTTTGCTGTGGAGGATGGTAGTGTAGTATTTTCCTGCAGGATGAAAGCAATACGCAGAGGCAGACCCTGGTGGCTGGGGACCCTCCTCGGTGCCTGCCTGGCTGCTCTCCCCGGCAGTATCACCTGTCCCAGGCTCTGCGCCTGCTACGTCCCCACTGAAGTGCACTGCACATTCCGGTACTTCACAGCCATCCCACCGCACATCCCCCCAAACGTGGAGCGCATCAATCTGGGGTATGTTTAACATCAAGATTTTAAATATTCTGGCCGGTTACCTTTCAAGACTTTGCAAAGCAGTAATTAAGAGTTTCCAGAATTAGGGCTAAAAATTAACCAAAGCAATAAATAAATCTTAAGAGCTTAATGTTCCGCAGTATTCAGAAGTGGTTGCAATCGCAGCTAGCAAAGCCTAAGACCACCAACACTAAGTGGAAATTTTGGGGATGTGTCACAGGGCATGTAAGAACTTCAAAAGGTTTTGAACTTAAATGCATTCTTTTATGTTACCCAAACATTTTGCATCTGTAACATGGAACTCAGAAGGAGTCTGAAATAGAATTCTTTCTGGGAGAAGATAGTTCAGAGCTCAGACAGTGGGCTGGAAAATTAATATGTGTATTAAAATCCTCAGAGACTTTGCTGTGACTTTAGAATGTCACACAATGCTGGTATCTATGCTTTTATCTATTGAGTTTATGGGAGATAACACTTGTCTGAATATTTCAGCCTCCAAAATGGTTCTGCTCTGTGTGTGGTTAAAAGGAACAGGGAATAGATTATACCCAGGCTTGGCTGGCCCGTTAACGCAGTTTCCAGCAAGTGTCCTCTGTCATACAATCAAATGATGAGACCAATCAGCAACATTTGACTGATCCTGGTATCACTTTTGATACGCATAACCTTTGAGTCGTCCATATGTGTATGCAGAAAATATAAAAGGAAGTTTTCATTGAAGTCTTCTCCCTCATCTGCCTTCTGCTTCCGGGCAGCATATCCAGATCCCAGCTCCTGACTCCTGTCTGCTCTTTCCTTCCATTGATTTTGTCAGTGTTGTCCGGTAGTGCTGTATATGAAGTCTTACAGTTAAGTACCAGTACTTTTAGAGGACTATGGGTTACCTGAGGTGTGGGACATGTGTTTGAAATACATTAATTACCACTACGGAAAGGCCATCTATCTGACTGGTGAATTAATCCAATTTATTTGTCACCACGGGGCATAGGAGGTGTGACTCCAGCATGAGCAGAGTCCCTGCGTTAGCTAATCAGGTCATGCAAGTCTGATAGGCATCAGACAAAGTCAAAGGCATCACAGAGTAGGTACTCGGCAATTGCGAGGCTTACACAATACCTACTAATTCTGGGATAGCATAGCATCACCGCTGTCAATACTCATGCTAGCTAGACTTAGATACGACCGCTGGTCAAACCTCCTGTAGCAGTGCAGCTCTCACTTGAAGGGCGCTCTGTTTCATTTTTGGTTCCCCGTTTAAATCCAGCCTAGACTATCCATACTGTATGTATGCTCATGGAAATCAGGGGAGGCTGAGGCTATGTCTGCATTAACAAGTAGTGTGCACCATTGAACACCCGTGGAGTGAAAATAAAACTCAAGATGTACAACTGAAAAGGGCGGACAGCATAGTCCAGCCAAGGACCGGGGAGGGACTGCAAGACACTCTGCAGAACCCACCTGCACCATGGCCTAGCCACAGCCGTCATCATTCAGGTCCCAGGAGGAAGGTCACACCCCAGTACCCTTGGTTTTACCTAGTTCTCAGTGGACAGCAAAGGAGGCTCTCTTTTGTCCATGGACCTCTCTGTGATACCGCAGTGTTGGGAAAGCCCTCGATTGAAAGAGGCATCAATGTGTCACCAAGCTCTACCATTACAGGAGCTCCTTGCTCTTCAACACTGAAGCCCAAAACTGGCATTCTTGTCTGCACATTGTTGAAGTTATTTTCACTATCCACTGTGAATACAGTCTTCAGAAAGCTGCCCTGGAAAAGTTACCAAATTTTGTGCTAACATGAAGGAATGACTTAAAATTTCACCGTAGCAACCAGAAGTGCTGTCTACCTTCATGCATTTCCAAAGAGTTGTTCTTTTGTTTTGGGTTGGTTGGTTTGTTTGTTTTAAAACTTGTGAAGTTTAGCTGTTTGACTAAACCCAGGTCTGGGATGAAATGTTTGTTACAGTTACAACAGCTTGCTTAAACTGACGGAAACAGATTTTTCTGGCCTGGAGAAACTGGAGTTACTGATGCTGCACAGCAATGAGATAAATACAATCCCTGATAAGGTGTTCAGTGATTTATATTCATTACAGGTAAGAACTAAATGTAGGAGATGACCTAGTCTTAATTTTTGTTATGACTTTTAAACAATGCAGTAATACTGATAAATGGAAGCAGAGCAGCGGTCTGTAGCATTTTGGTTTCCTGTTTCTTATTGTATCCACGTGACAGACGAGGGCCTTCAAGATACAGAATCCTAACGGGAAATGTCTTGCCTTCCCAGGTGGGCATTCAGGTACAGTTCAAAGAATGTGATGAACATATTGGTAGATACCTGTCAGCAATATCTTAACGGGCAACTGCAGTTGAAACTCTCTTTCACATGAGAGAGAAAGATTGCAGAGCTCTGAGTACTGCATCTGTGGTAGGAAACTTGTCTTTAGTTAATTTGTTAGTCAATATTTTTTTTTTTTTTGAGGATTGTTTTCCATCCAGGTTTCCCTTTCCCTTCAGTACAGTATAGTCCTGTCCCTTTCTATCCTTCGTTTAAAAAAGGCTCCTACTGAACAGAAACTGAACATATTACATATAAACATTTTAATGCTTTAAAAAAACTACAGTTCCTTGGTTTTATAATTTAACATATATTTGTGGACTTTTAAAATGTAGTATTCGATGCCTGTTTTGTTCTTTAACTGAAATATTACGTATTTATAAAATATTACCTATATTTATGTATATTGTAAAAATTAGTAAATGTACGGTGTCATACAGGGATTCTGGAGCTATCTCAGTATCTCACTGTGCGATGTGGACATTCATATATAAAGCATTACTTACATGATTATTTAGGAACAACCGTTCCCAACTAATTCGATGTACAGGTAACACTTATTCTCTAGCTAAATTTCCATCTAGAGCTGTTATTAACTGCTCTAGAGAAGTAATAATGTTGTAGCTGTGATGAACCAAGAACATGAGACACCTGAACTGTTCAGACAGAAAACACGGTATTGGCTCAATTGCTGGTTTTAGAGGATTAGGGGGTGGGGGTGGGAGGGAAAGGCAGAAAGCAGACACGCTTTGGAGCATACAGGTCTTCAGGTTTCATTAACCCTCACAAAGGGGAGTTCTGTGCCTGAAAGGTTGCTTGTTAACTCCTTGCAGCTGAGTTAATAAAATAAGCTTTATGGAGTTGTACAGCTTTTCCTCCCTCATCAACAAGCAAGACGGCAACACAGTTATAGATAGTTTTAATGGAATTATATTTGGCAGATAAAATAAACTTGCACGTTATTGTGATTTTGTACTTTTTCTCCTCATTAATTTTCAAAATACAGCATTCGTGACTGTAACAATATAATTCTAGCAGGAAAAGTAACAACAAAAAGGCTGTCTTGGGTACCATATTTAATACTTCAGCAATATGCCAGATCTGTTCATCTCATAGTTACGAATTTGACTTTTAACCTGTCAGCAACAAAATAGCACCTGAGAGTTGAGTTTTGGCAAGTACACATCTCACGTGACACGAATCCTGAAACTGGGGACACACTTAGCAGTTCTGTTGGTTAAACATCAAACAAAATAGACTGTAGCACGCATCTTTATACAGATGCATCCAGCCAGTCATAACACTGGCTGGAACAAAAATCACTACCACAGTTTATGGTCAAATTCTGCTTGCCCTTTTCATAAGCGTGGTTTAATTGGGGTTTTTTGAATGAGAAATAAGCATTGCTTTATTTTGTGTTTTAGTCACTGCGTTTTGTAAATGTGGCTGCAGAAGTGTCACCCTGATGGACTGTGGAACAAGAAGGCATCCTTGTACTCCTGCAACTAACATTGCATTTAAAAATAATTCCTCCTACTAAGTTTTTCCAATCACTTGCATTACTGGTCTGGTGAAGTACTTTCATTTCACAGAGTAACCATCAATCAAAATTTGTTAGGAGTCTTACGACAATATAACATGGGTTAATATTATACACTTACTACTTTTTCATCAACAGGTCTTAAAAATGAGTTATAACAAGGTCAGAGTACTTCAGCAAGATGTTTTTTATGGTCTAAAGAGCTTGGTACGGTTGCATATGGACCACAATAAAATTGAATTTGTACATCCCAACGTTTTCTATGGACTCACATCACTGAGGTTGGTCCACTTGGAAGGAAATTTACTTAAGCAGCTGCATCCAGATACTTTTGTCACCTTGCGCTATAGCCAGGTATTTAAAATATCCTTCATGAAGCACATATATTTGTCTGACAATGTGTTGACTTCACTACCACAAGAAATGTTTTCCTACATGTCTGAGCTAGAGAGCATTTACCTTCATGGAAACCCATGGTCCTGTGATTGCAATCTACAGTGGTTTGCAGAATGGGCAAAAGAGAGACCAGGTGAGCTGAAGACTTTGTTTATGCTTTTTAATCACGTTATAGCATCTTATTCTTTTTGATAAAGGTAATTTTTTCCTTTATTTATTTATTCTCCCAGAAAAAGCTGGAAGACAGGATTTTTGTAGGTGCATGTAATCAGGATAAACAGATTAATACCATTCCGTTTCCCAGATTAAATGACTCTAGTCGTCTTAACCCATTCCCAAGTGCAGCTTTCCTTAATGGAACGTTTTCCTTGGCCAGTCCAAAGCTTCTGTGCACCAGGAGAATCCACAGGGAATAAGGAAGCTAATTTTTATGTAACTGGCAAGAGCGAAGGCCACATTGCACTCGACTCTTCCAAAGAGAAATAAGGAACGGGATTCAAGGACTTTCTCTGTTGCTGCCCTGAGTAGAGGTTGCACACGATAGCGTAGTGTTACCCCCAAAGTGCAAGAGCCTGTGTCTCTCAGAACAAAGCTACGGCCAGGTACCACAGCAGAGCCCTCCTTGCACGGTGTAAAACCACTGGGACAGAAGGGCGCCATTCTGAGCTGCCATAGCAATAGTCCTTAAGCAGTTTCATCAGAGAAAATTCATAGGTTTTCGTAGGGTACTTTAGGTTTTCGTAGGTTACTTCAAGATAAACTTTGTTAATATTTTATTCAAGAGAACAACTTGCTGGTAGCTATATGTCTTTATCAATGCTAAAAATTGCATCACAAAAGCTTACTGCATTTTTCTCCCCTTCAGATGTTACAAAGTGCAAAAAAGACAGAAGTTCTGGTGCTCAGCAATGCCCAGTTTGTGCTAGTCCCAAAAATCATAAAGGGAAAAGCTTAGTGGATATTCCTTCTGCATCTTTAACCTGCACTAAGCCAGCCATACATGACTCCCTGAAAGTTAAAAACCTCACAGTACCAGATGATGGGGATTTCAGTTCCGTATCTCCCAAGGACTTCATAGCTCCTATAGGATCCATGGTATTGAACATGACTGACCAAGCAGGAAGTCGAGGTAACTTGGTTTGCAACATCCAAAAACCTAAAGAAATGTCTCCCATCTCATTTGACAAAGATGGCAACAGTACAGTACTCAAAACGTCATTCTCAGCATTTCTTGTGTGTGGCATTGATTATGAACATATTCAGCAGCTATGGAGCATACTGGCACTGTACAGTAATTCTCCCTTAAAACTGGAGAGGAATGTCCTAGCAACTAACATGCCTTTTTACAAATATAAACAAATCTACTCTGAAAAAGATGAACTTTTTACCAATATAGAGACTGAACTGAGAGCTGAACCGTCTTGGTTAATGCAAAGCAAAGTGGCATTACAGCTAGACAGGACAGCAACCACGCTTAACACATTGCACATCCAATACTTTACAGATGCTCAGATTATTTTACCCAGTGCTGACAAAAAACAGGAGAGAAATAACTGGACCATCATCTCCAGGAACAACAAAACACAAACGGAGCACACTGTTTTAGTCGGGGGGACCGTAGAACTGGAGTGCCAAGCAACTGGCGAACCAGCTCCTGCAGTAGAGTGGATATTGGCTGATGGAAGCAAAGTTAGAGCTCCTTATATCAGTGAGGATGGAAGAATCATAGTAGTTAAAACTGGAACGTTCACGTTACGGACAGCTGATACTTTTGATACTGGGCTTTATCACTGCATAGGCACAAATTACAACGATGCAGATACTCTCACATTCAGAATTACTGTCGTCGATCCTTACGTGGAACACAACAGTGTAAATGGAGCCCAACTTTCTACATTTGTTGGCAGCACGCTCTACCTTCCCTGTACATCCACTGCTGTTCCAGATGCTGCCATTAGCTGGGTGTTACCTGAGCATGTGATTCTTCATCATTCTGCAAGAAACAAACATATTTTTGACAATGGTACTTTGAGAATACAAGGGGTAACAGAGCGAGACAGTGGCTACTTCAGATGTGTTGCAGCCAACCAGTATGGCATTGATCTTTTGGTTTTCCAAGTGCTAGTCAGAAAGGACGAAACCACTCTAAAGAAAAAGCATGTAGCTGTGGGAGAATGGGAAGAGGGCGACGGCTCTGGCAATGCAATGCTGGCCTCTGCTACAAGACAGAAACATCCTGTAGCTACTCTAACTACCTTGACAGCTAATCGGGGATCTGGTGCCTCAGCATCCAGGAATCGGGTCGCACAGACTGCACATAAAAGGAACAGCTACGGGAAAATGACTTCCAGGCACTACAGGGACAAAATAAGCAGGCGGTTTAGAGGACACAGAAGACAGTTTGTTTCCTCAGCCAGGAGAGTCGATCCGCAGCGCTGGGCAGCCTTTTTGGAAAAAACAAAGAGGAACTCGACATTGATAGAAAAACGAGGAGAAGTTGCAACAAAACCACCTATTCAGATCCGCAAGTTCTCAAAAGTACCTGGGGATGAGGAGGAAACATCGGGTGACCTCATATCTCCAGAAGAAGAATTCATGATACCAGTAACAGAGACAGCCACCGTATCTGCTCTGGAGAGAGCAATGGAAAGTGTGATAACTGCAGGGCCTGAGTGGACCACCAGTAACACCCCTGCTAGGAAAACCTCTCCTCTGGTTGCAGAGGCAGTAACTCCCCTACCCTCTCCTTTTTCACAGTCTGTGTCATCTGACAGCAGAAAGCCACAAACATATCTAAAACCTACAATTACAAACTCATGGGAAAGATCTGATTTAAGTCAAATATCAGCAAATGGTATAAAACAATCAACTGTATCAAATGGAGCAAGTAGAACATCTACACTCTTCCCTGCTGGGCAAAGGTTGGTATATTCTGGGGAAAGTAATAACCAGCATTTAAAATCTGTATCTATGACAGACGTTACAGACACCAGCAAGTCTGTAACTTCCCAAAACGCAGTGGACAAGCTACATGTTTTTGCTGAGTCTGTTGATAAGATTTCCACCAAAACAGATCATCAGATATCTGTAGTGACAGTCAGTGAACCAAGTCTTGAATTTGGTCACGTTTATTTTCATAGTACTCAGAAACCAGTAACTCCTAAGCCGCCGTTGGACTCAATTTTCATTACTCATCAGCAAATTCAGATTATTCAGGATGTTACAACTCGGACACCCCAGGCCCAGCAGCAATATGGAAGACGAAGGAAAATTTCTGGTAGGAGACGAATTGTTAGACCAGGGCATATTCCAAGTATGAAAGAGCACAGATACAATTTTGGGAGGCCAGGATCTGTCAGAGGAAGTACAGCTGCGGCTGCAGATGTTCAACTGAATATGAAATATGTATCAAATTTACCAACCTTAAATAATTTAAGCAGCTCCATCAATCCATTTAGCCCAGAAGCACCCCTGTCCTCCCCCTCTACCATGAATATGCCATTGGAGCACCCAGCGGGTACTCGTCAAAACACAGCATTCCTCAGGGAAGAGGAGAACAAAGCTAGTGCAAGGCAAAAAGCCACTACAACAGTCATGCCTTTATTTACAAAAGGCACTCAAGATACTCCTCAATGGAAATTAGAGACCAGTGCTCCACTTCAGACAGATACTGATAGAGGCCAACCTTTTAGTATCAGACGACCAACAACGGCAATCCATACAGCTCATATTACGACAGAAATTACACGTACCATAAGCACTAAGATATCTTCTACCCTTGAATCAGTCTCACCCAGCATTAAGCCTAGAACCTCAGCAAAAAATTCCCAAAGAGGAGAAATTACTTGGGAACGTCTCTTTGGAAATGGTGCACAAAAAGAGGTCCTTCTTCAGAAGCTACCGAAACAACAGACAGACATGTTTCTATCAACAGAGGTATCGACCATGCTTCCTAAAACGACGGCAGCATTGTCTATGTCCAAAATGTCTCCTTTGCACTTTACGCCTGTGTCAACAGGTGGGAATCACAGCAGTGGTTTCTTGTCTTTAAACAAACCCATTCGTTATGGCAACGGTAAGTCAGAAGAACATCTTCCCACTGCAAAACTGCAGTCTTACTCTAATCCTGCAACTAGTGCAACCAAAGAAATGCATGTAACAAGTTTGAAGCCAACAGTTATACCTATTATTACTCCTCAAACTGACAACAAAATCACCAAAAGTAAAACATTCAGAGTGGGAAGAAAGAGAGGTCAGAGGAGGAAGAGGCCCCCTAAAATACCTACTTCACAAAGCACGACTGCAGGCCAGAGCACTGCAGCAATTCCATCGGTGAATACAGCCACAGCTGTCGTGACAACAGTTAAATCATTAACTATGCCTACAAGTCTTACATCTGCACAACCTCTCTGTGAGAGCGTAAGCGCAGTCTTAGCGACAGAAATGCCAGCACTGTGGATCCTTAACACACCAGACGCATCTCGGCACGTGCCTGCAGCAGCCGCGCAGACATCAGTGACCCCTGTCACACGGAGGAACATCCAGTCAGCCACATTACCACCCAAGAGTCGTATTGCTCAGAGCCCCACCACACCAATCCAAACCACACCACTGCTTTCAAAGCCTTTCAGTGCCACAAGCGCGCGACCTGCCACAGTCTGTGCAACATCTGGGTCAGAACCTGCTCAGCAAATCAAAGCCACCACAACGGCAGGTGAAAAATCACACCCGAAAATGGAAGAGAGAGTTATTCAAGAAAACAACATTGCACAGCCCACATTCCCAGCAAGAACCAAGTCAAGTACCAGAGCTCCTGCTGCATCCAGAGACATCTCTCCTCCCAGCACTAAGCATCCCACCCCACTGCCAGCCCTAAGAGCAGTTGTGCCACCTGCACGTACTGCAAGAACCACCTCGCCTCCGTGGGGTGAAATCAAATTCTGGCAGAAGTCCTCTGCTAAAGTCACAGAGAGAGGCAACCCATTAACTGTCACACTGACCATACTGAAGCCATCGCAGGTCGTGACTCCGTATGCTCCTCTGGGGGGAAGGGACAAGGACAGTTCTGTCAAAGGCTGGTCTGAAAAGAGACGAGATCGAGAAACTACCACCAACAATCCTATAGCCATGGACTCTTTAAGCAGAAATCATTTCGCAAAGCCCAGAATAATTGGAGGAAAATTAGCTGCTTTTACTGTGCTAGCTAATTCAGATGCTTTTATTCCTTGTGAAGCTACTGGTAACCCCCGTCCAACAATACAGTGGACCAAGATATCGTCAGGTATGCTTGATAAACCTCTCTAGAATTTGCCTTCTGTTATAGTCTTGTATTTGGCAGATGTTTTGTGTGCCAAACTCAAGTATTGCTTAATTTAAGAGTACTATGAAATATCAGTGAAAAGATGAACTTTGAAACAGTGAAAAAGAAAGATATCCCAGCACACTTGCTGGAGTGTCTTACTGCTAATTATGAAACAGTTCTTTAGGAAAATTAAAAAAAAAAATCTATATTTAACTATAATTCTGTGCTTATTGTGAGAAGATTTCAATATTTATTGTATGTTACCTGCTATTTCAGAACAGTGAGACAAGTGAAAAGAAAAATCTTGTTATTGGTAACAAACCATCAAATCAAGTTAAAGCTATGCCAAAATATTTTTGAATATGTAAAGCCCCATCTGTTTTATCCAAACTTTGTCTCTACTGAGGACTAAGTTCTGTTTTTACTTTAAAGCTTTGTCACTGTATATGCAAAATACTACTATTTCTCTCTTTCTTATCAGTAGTGTCTTGGTTATTTGGGCAAAGCAGACCAGGACAGGGAAAGTGCTTTCAGCAACTGAGTAAAAAGAAACAGAAGAGAGAGGTTCTGACGTGCTGCACTGTTGTCCCCTTACTTCTCTAGGGACCGACGCCCTGGAAAGCCGAGGCGACGGCAGATGGATGGTGTTTGCCAACGGCACGCTCTCCATCGCCCGGGCAGGCCTGGAGGACCGTGGGCAGTACCTGTGCACCGCAGCCAACCTGCATGGCGCAGCACGGCTCCTGGTCACCTTGTCGGTAGTGGCCTACCCGCCCCGCATCATTGGTGGCAGGTGGCAGCTCCTCACCGCTCACTCCGGAAAGCCCGTGGCAGTGAAGTGCAGAGCTGAGGGCAGGCCTCCGCCCACCGTCTTGTGGGTTCTAGCAAATAAAACGCACGTCTCCAACTCTTCCGCAGGAAATAACAAAGTTCACGTGGAACCAGACGGCACTTTAATTATCAAGGAAGTCACTGTTTATGACAGGGGCCTCTACACATGCATGGCTAAAAACCCAGCGGGCACTGACACGCTGGTTGTAAAACTGCAGGTCATTGCGGCACCTCCCGCTATTCTGGAAGAGAAGAGACAACGTGTTGAAGGAATGATGGGGGAAAATCTGAAACTCCCTTGCACCGTGAAAGGGAATCCTCAGCCCACTGTCCACTGGGTCCTCTTTGATGGCACAGTGGTGAAGCCTCTGCAGTTTGTAAATGCAAAGCTGTTCCTGTTCTCCAACGGTACCCTCCACCTCAGCAACATCGTCCCTTCTGACAGCGGGAATTACGAGTGCATAGCCACAAGCTCGACTGGCTCGGAAAGGAGGGTGGTGAGCCTCGTGGTGGAACACAGAGACACGCTTCCAAAAATAGCTACCGCCTCTCAAGAAATGACTCAGTTGAATTTTGGGGATAAGTTGCTTCTGAACTGCACAGCGACTGGGGAGCCAAAGCCCAGGATCATCTGGAGGTTACCTTCTAAGGCAGTTGTTGACCAGTGGCACAGGTAGGAGTCTTCCACCCCCCCCCTTTTTGAAACTTCAAATGCTGTCTTCTCTGGTGCTCATATAAGTGACTGTTACATCACTGAAACAATACATTATGAACTAAATTAACTTTTAAATGTTTAACAGTGGTGAAACATCCGTGGTGATGGCTTGTTATTACACATCTAATAACAGACCACATCAATGGTCGTAAGTGTGTGAGGTCTTACCAAAATGGATACAAGTCTTGTTTGAATTAAGGAAACTGATGTTAATCATACATTGGCTGAATTTTGGTTGTTTTATAGGAGGAAAAGTTATTTACAAGAGATTTGCGAAGTAGGACTCAGGAGGAAGAGGATTCTGTGGTCTCTGCCAAGTCTACCTTTGAGGGTCTCCCCCCCCACAGCCCCTCCCACAGTAACACTTCACCTTTGCTTTGGGAGAGACGGTCCACATCAGGTCGTTCCTAGCAGGCTCATGAGAACTTGCAGCTGGGCTGAGGGAGATCAAGTCCGTGCCCTGCTGCAGGAAAGGCAACCAGAGAGTAATCACTCAGTGCCACGTGTCGTTCTGGACAACGTGCAGCAGCACTGACAGCTGCCTCTGGCCGGGGGCAAGTATTGCGGGTTGTCTGCGAGGGGAAGGAAGCGTGAGGGAGAGGAGCAGAGGCTGGCAGGATGAGGGACGTAAGAGTCAACAGGCTCATTTGTTCACAGAACAGTTTTCAGGAAGGCAGAGGCAGCATCGTGCAGCTTTGCGCACCTACATAGAGTCAGCGAGCACGTGCATATCCACGTAACAACAAAAGCGGCGGCTCCATCAGGTTATAACCCACTGGGTCTGCGGGTGATGTGGACACAGTGCCTGTGGAGAGAGCTTCTGTATCTGTCCTGGTTTCGGCTGGGATAGAGTTAATTTCCTTCCTCCTAGCTGGTACAGTGCTGTGTTTTGGATTTGGGATGAGAATAATGTTGATAACACACCGATGTTTTAGCTGTTGCTAAGCAGTGCTTACACTAGTCAAGGACTTTTCAGCTTCTCACGCCCTGCCAGCGAGAAGCTGGGAGGGGGCCCAGCCAGGACAGCTGACCCAAACTGGCCACAGGGATATTCCATACCATGTGGTGTCATGCTCAGTACATAAACTGGGGGGAGTTGGCCGGGGGGCGGTGACCGCTGCTCAGGAACTGGCTGGTTGGCAGGTGGTGAGCAATTGCATTGTGCATCACTTATTTTGTATATTCTTTTATCATCATTATTATTATTATTTTCCCTTCCTTTTCTGTCCTGTTAAACTGTCTTTATCTCAACCCACGAATTTTACTTTTTTTCCAATTCTCTCCCCCATCCCACTGCTGGGGGGTGGGGTGGGGAGTGAGTGAAGGGCTGTGTGGTGTTCAGCTGCCTGCTGGGTTAAACCGCAACAAGTATCCTGTTGTGCTGTTAACACTGTCAGTCACTTTCAGTGCTCAGCATTCGCCTCCAGCGTTTTGTTCCATAATTCTTTTCCCGTTTCTCCCCCCACAACAGAATGGGAAGTCGAATCCATGTCTACCCCAACGGATCTTTGGTTATTCAGGCAGTTACTGAAAAGGATGCAGGTGACTATTTGTGTGTCGCAAGAAACAAAATTGGAGATGATCTGATACTGATGAAAGTCAGCATCACAATGAAACCAGCCAAGATTGACCAGAAACAGTATTTCAAGAAACTGGTGCCATACGGGAAAGATTTCAAAGTGGACTGCAAGGCCTCTGGGTCACCCGCACCAGAAATATCCTGGAGTTTGCCAGATGGGACGGTGATCAATAATGCAATGCTGGCAGACGACAGTGGACGCAGGTCTCGCAGATACGTCCTCTTTGACAATGGAACTCTGTATCTCAACAAAGTTGGAGTAACAGAAGGAGGAGATTATACCTGCTACGCTCAAAACACACTGGGAAGAGATGAAATGAAGATACGCATCACGGTCGTCATGGCAGCCCCTCAGATAAAGCACAATTACAAGACATACATTAAAGTGAAAGCTGGAGATACGGCATTACTGGACTGTGAAGCCGCTGGAGAACCCAAGCCGAAAATATTCTGGTTGCTACCTTCCAGCGACATGATCTCCTCGTCAACAGCCAGACACTTCCTGCACGTCAATGGGTCTCTATCAGTAGGTCAAGTCAAACTGTTGGATGCCGGGGAGTATATGTGTGTTGCTCGTAATCCTGGAGGGGATGATACAAAATTGTATAAACTGGATGTTGTTGCTAAACCACCTATGATAAACGGTTTATATGTGAACAAAACAATCATGAAAGTGACGGCAGTGAGGCATTCAAAGAAACAAATCGACTGTAGGGCAGAAGGGACACCTCCACCTCAGATTATGTGGATCATGCCTGATAATATTTTCCTAACAGCTCCGTATTATGGGAGCAGGATTGTAGTACACAAAAATGGGACACTCGAGATTCGGAACATAAGGCCTTCTGACACAGCAGATTTTATCTGTGTGGCACGTAATGATGGGGGAGAGAGTATGCTGGTGGTGCAGCTGGAGGTATTAGAAATGCTAAGGCGACCGATGTTTAAAAATCCATTCAATGAAAAAATAATAGCAAGACCTGGAAAAACTACCGCATTGAATTGTTCTGTGGACGGAAACCCTCCACCTGACATAAGCTGGATGTTGCCTAATGGCACGTGGTTTTCCAACGGCATCAAGACTTCCCAGTTTCTCACAGGTAGCAACGGCACCCTCACCATCTACAATCCTGGCAGAGACAAAGCAGGGAAGTATCGCTGTGCTGCCAGGAATAAAGTTGGCTATATTGAAAAGCTGATCGTCTTGGAGGTTGGCCAGAAGCCCAATATTCTCACTCACCCAGCGGGGCCAGTGAAGGGCATTAGCGGGGAGTCACTGTCGCTTCACTGCCTCTCTGATGGGAGTCCCAAACCAAATACAGCGTGGACTCTGCCAGGTGGCTACGTGCTGGATCGACCGCAGATTAACGGGAAATACATACTGCTGGAAAACGGTACTTTGGTTATACGAGAAGCCGCCATTCACGACCGAGGAAATTACGTGTGTAAGGCCCACAACAATGCCGGAGATTCCTCTATAACTGTTCCTGTCGTTATTGTAGCCTATCCCCCGAGGATTACGAACAGACCACCGCAGACCATACACACGATGCCTGGTGCAGCAGTTCAGCTCCACTGCATAGCGCTGGGAATACCAAAACCAGAAATTACCTGGGAATTACCTGACCACTCAATACTCTCTACAGGTAACCAAGGCCGAGCGTTTGGGAGCGAACTGCTTCATCCCCACGGGACATTACTCATCCAGAATCCCCGACCCTCAGATTCTGGCGCGTACAAGTGCACAGCGAAGAACCATCTTGGCAGCGATTTCACAGTAACATACGTTCACGTCATTTGAAATAAGAAATACAGCGCGGATGATTGTTAACAAAGTCTACAGCTGGACTGAGTTCATTCTTGGAATAAGTTTAATCAAAGGCAGCCATAGGCATGTAAGTGCCTAAATACATTTACAGTATTCAGTCTGCAATGACCGTGCAAAAAAAAAAAAAAAAGAGCGAGGAAAGGCTTGGGGAGAATTAGATCTAGCATTATTATCTAGCATTGGTTCTTTCAGTGATTAAACAGACTTAAATAAAAACAAACTTAAGGCACTTTTGCTCTGCCAGCAAACATTGAATATCAAATAAAATTACTTTTCTGGAAACGTGCTTAGAGGTCTTCAGTAAAGGATAGACTTTTTCGTATTAGTTTAATATTGTCCACCTCGTATGACTATCATGAGCATGGATCACATAAAGCGAGAGTATCCGAGAACCAAAGATTTTATTGTCATGCAGCAGATTACCTTCTTAATATGTTTGAATATTTAGTATGTTTTTTTAGTAAATAGTCAATGGTGAAACAAGTAGTGAAGCATTTCTAATAATACAGCTCTGTTTCACACAGTCTTTTTTGCAAAACTTTGGGATGACACATAGAGAACAACTTTGTTCTCATTTTTAAATGAGAGAGTAAGCTCTGTTTAGCGCTGTTTAGAAAAAGTGTACGGAGCACATGTAGAAACACTCTAGCTTGGTATCATTTTCCTACTGTCACAACAGCATTTTTTAAAAATTTCTCACTAGAAAACAATTGCATCAATTTGCATATAAATTTAGAATTCTGATTTCTCAATTCAGTAGACAGGTCTAAGAAGCAACTTTCTGTACACGAGGGAAAAATGCCTTCACAGTGGTAGGAAATTGTTACCTACACATTTCACACTAATGAATCACGGATTGAACTGGTCAAATAAATCTTTAAAAGGTTAAGGCAGTAACTACAGCTCAGAGTTTCTTTCTTGCTTCCTAAGAGAGAGATTAATGTCAGGATAGAGGGGTGAAAATACATGCAATGCAGCCTTTCCCCTTAAATTTGCAAATTCAGGACATACGCATATCGTGGAAGAAACTGCGCTGTCCCTGCAGTCCCAGCTAGTCCCGCAGCCAGCGGCGCCCGGCACTGCCTGATCCCGCTGCAGTGGACCAGAGGCCGCACGGCTGAAGCCAGGGCTGTTGGAAGAGAGTGGTTTTTTCATCCATTAGAGTCTCTGATGGATGTATGAAGGGTTCAGCATAGCCATCCCCTGCCTTGTGAACAATTCCAGCTCTTTACACCATTTAAAATAATAAAAAAATCCAAGAACGGTAACACGTCTCTTTTGGGCCTGTACGATCTACCACTTAGAAGAAGGGTCCGCAATGAAACTCCTCTGTGCTAACGTGACAGCAGCATCTGAACCACTTGCACTAACATCTCTCAGCAGCAGTTGATCAGCACACAAGACACTCGTCAGTGAGAAAGTATTCAAGTGCCAAGAGCTAAATGCAGATTCTACCTCAATTTAACCACATCACAATCAACCTGGGGATTTTTAGATTTTTTTTATTTAAGACTATAACCTCAGCTGGGATTGCTTTTGTGCTGGTTGGATCATTTCCTAATGTCAACCTCATAGAGTTTGCTGTGTGCGCGTTCCCTCCTTCCACAGTGTTGATGGAGCAGTAGCCACAAAACGGTTGGATTACATGAGTCTCACTGGTTAATATCCATAATAGCTTTAGCTACTATGAAGAACAGTAAACCTCCTTAAAGAAAACTGAACAGAAATAATTTTGACATGAGCAAGACTTACCTGACTATTGTAAAAGCCAATCAAAATTTACTTCTCTACAGATTTCCGTGTAGTATTATTTCATTAGCTGGCCGCACTGCCTCCCACAGTCCTCTGAAGCTTGTGCAGTGCAGTCTTCCCCCCTCCCCACAGAACACCCGACTATGATACCATCTATAAACTCTTTGTACGGTAAATTAAGCAAATTGAGTTAATACAAAACAAGGAAAAATATTCCTATGTATATTTTAAATACCCTGCATGTTCCACTTTCAAAATGAATGCATTTAGAAAAAAATAAAAATTGTATAGACTAACTCCTAAATTACATAAAATAGTAATAAATTTATTCTGTTTTTTCAACTCTAAAACGAGAAAAATTATGGCATATTTGAACAGGTTTGAATAATAACCATTTGTTTGTAGTAATTGTGATTTATAATTTACTTGTGGTTTTGCCCTCCGCTGATAATACGTAACACATTACACCGCTGAAACTCACCCAGCCATCAAGACTCAAACCCGGAATTTGAAATACTTACTGTACAACATTGGTAGCACACGCAGGTAACAGGAATAACTCATTTAGGGTGACTTCAGTACAAAGAGCTGTCAGCTACGGCAGCGCTGAAACCGCAGAAAGGACTTTGGTGGCTTTTCCACCCTCACTTTGTGAAAGCTGGTACGAGATGTGTTACTGAAGGCATCAAGCGAGACACGGAGATTCGTTTCCTGTGAGGCTTTACCAGGACTTAGAGATTTCCCTGCGTGAGCAGAGCAAAACCTGTTTTGACTGTTCAATCCTTGTTACTATGTCGTGCACTCCTTTAGAATTGATCACCAGTGAACGTTACATCAAAAAGACCAAATATGAAACACTGCTACTTCTAGTAGGTTTATTAACATTACATTGTGGCTTTTAATATAAACTTTAAGAAGTTCTAATACAAGCAATAAACCCACTTCAGCACCTTCTTACCACAATGAGAGCAAGAGAAAATTGGTACTTTAAACAAGGAACTTTATAAAGTGCATATGAAAATTACAGTCAAATAAACAATTTAAATTGATGCTTGTTCTACCAACAAAGAAAGAGGTGAACATTTTAATGAACAAATTAACTTTTATGCCAAAATCGGAAGTGCCTTTCAGTTCAGTAGTTTGGTCCAGTGCAGTTCTTTAAAAAAAAAAAAAAACAACAAAAAAATCAACAAAAAACATACACACACACACACACAGTGTTTCCCACAAATAAATAAATCCAGCATTCTTTGTCCTCTTTAAAAGTAACAGGACCTAAAAAGCACCAAATTCATAAAATCTGCAATAACATTCTTCAAATAGGCCCACAAGTCCATACATTTAAATCTAGTTAAATGCAAAAAAATCCCCGAACCCAAAAAACCCACCTTGTTACATATTCACATCAACTGCAGCACGAAAAATAATTACTGAAATAATAAGAGAAGAAAACTAAAGTTTGCTTTCTAGCAATAACTAGTGCATTGGATTTTGAATGTTCTGTTCTTCAGTGCAAACGTAACATGACGTCTCCCTTCCATCTCTGATTTAGAAGTGTGAAGGATGCCCGTACTGGTTCACTCCTTGTTGTGGTTGGTTACCTGGTTGATAAAGCAAAGGGAAGTGTTTGTGCCTCATGACTGTACTCTACAGAAATACAGAAAAATACCTGTGTTTCATGCAGCAGTAGCAAACAACGGTCAATACATTCCCCTATATACCTATCTAATGCACGCAAGGGGTGCTAATTTCCTCGGGGACTTCACCTGCGGTGGGACTATGGAAGCGATGGGAGAAAACACGCAGCAAATTGTGACTGGGCCACCAGCCCAGTGACTCGGGCTTCTCGAGACCAACAGAAATCCGTGGGATGCACTAGCACCAGAATTTTGGTATCACACCACTACTGGGATGGGTAACCAGCTGTCAGTAGGTAAATTATTTACATATATATGTGGCAGCATTTAAATAGGCAGAACACCTGCAGAAAGATAATTCCATATTCAAATATACATTTATGTACATCTATGCACACACACACTTACTAGAGAGCTGCTTCTGGAGCTGCCTGACCAGCGCCGCTGTCTGTTGTTGCTGCTGTGTCTGTTGTAAGCCTTGCCTTGGGAACTGCAAAAGAAACATGGAAGATGAAAGAAATACGCACAGCGCGAGTGCCACGTCAGGTAACTGCAGAAGTGTTCAGCTTGTGCTGCCCCGTCAACTGCTGACAGGGGACAGCAGAAGGCAGGCAGGCAGGCGTGCCTCCACAGCAGATCCTGACCGGATTTTAACAGCACAGTAAGGACACGTGGAGCACACTTGTAACTCACACAACATTTGTTCTCTTCATTCTCTGAAATCTCACGCGTTTCCAGTTGTGTTACAAGTATCACAGACACAAGGGACAGAGTCAGTCTCTGTCTTTTCCACCTCTGGAGAGGTCAGCGTTCATCCTGCAAGTCACTCTAAGCAGCTTTACTGTCTACATTGTTCAAAGACAAGGCAAATCAAAACTGCAAATCAAAATTAACAGCCTTTTTAGCATTTTAACACACATGTGGCTGAAGCATCATAGTCAAAAGAAGCTTCTCGAAAAATATTTTTCCCAGGGCAATGGCACTTCAGATAAAAAGAAGGATGAGCACAAAGCAGACGTTCATTGCGCTGCACACCAGCTGCAGGGTTGTAGCTGCACAGTTGTAACTACAGGGTTGTAGCTGTAGTTCTTGGCTCCAGTGGAACGGGAGACAGATCAGTGCCCAGCCAACTGGGCCAACTCCTCCACTGAGCAAAATAATCATCATTCTGATCCTTACCCTAAGCCCACAGGGACTAAGACAAGGCCCTTCCAGTCCATGGCATTAAGCACAATGGGATTAGACACAAAAAGCTTCCAAAGAAATCTGCTGTTAATTAATTAAATCATGACTTCAACCACTTTGAAAGTACCCTGGGCGTTGCCCTGGTTTCAGCTGGGATAGAGTTAATTTTCTTCCCAGTAGCTGGTACAGTGCTGTGTTTTGGATTTAGCATGAGAATAATGTGATAACACTCCGATGTTTTAGCTGTTGCTAAGCAGTGTTTATACTAAGTCAACGACTTTTCAGCTTCCCATACTCCGCCAGCGAGGAGGTGCACAAGAAACTGGGAGGGAGCCCAGCCAGGACAGCTGACCCAATATGCATTGACTTTCACAAATTGGCACCCTATTTATACTTGCATCAAAGCAGAATTTAGTCTTTAATCGGTCTACCTGACAGCATGCATTATTCCCTACCTATCTGACCCATGAAGTCTGTTTTTCAAGTAAGGATGGGTAGGAGAACAAGCACCGCTTTGCTTTCCATGCTTCTGGCTGTCATTCAGAAGAAAATAATTCTCTATTAACAACTTCTATTGATCATCTACCTGTATGTCAGAGTACTCAATATATTGCACACCACGCTACTGAATTATGGCAGACAGACCTGACACAGACTGTCTGTGTGTGTACCATTGGGATGGGTACTTCTAGAGCCAAAGGTCTGCGTATACAAGAAGCATTTCTTCCCTTGGAAAACGCGTCCCCCGTATGAAAGAAAAACGGCTGTGCATGAGCTATCTCAGACTCCCGAGGACAGAGAGCTGATGGCCCAACTCCGTCATACTTACCTGCTCCTGGGAGGGAAATCATGATGAATGAGGTACCGCTATGCTAGCAAGCACAAACCAAACCAAGCCTTCACCATTTACTGTCTGTCTTATCCTCAGGGCCTCTAAGCTCTCTGGATCTGTTTCCTAAGTCCTGGAGCTTTCCTTCTCATTAGATTTGCTGAAAATGCATGTGCCTCTAATTAAGTGATTTTTTGTGCTTCTGCACAAGGATATACAATACACCTGACGAGTTTGAAAACCTGATGTGGTGAATAAAAATGGAGTTATTCAATACTCTAATAGGTGCTACAGAAAACGCCCATGCTTTGTTTCAGTGAAACCTTTTGCTTACTGAAGAGAGTTTCAGCGTTTTACAAGACTTCAGCATCTTTTCCCTTTCTGAAACCAAATACTTCACTTAAAATACATTGTGTAATCTTCTGGCTAACAGTCCTTAGTAAATGCTGACGTTAGTCAAAAGCATTAACCACACCAGGGTTTCTTGGGGACATGAAACCAACACACGGAAAGCTTTCTGCTGTGCTAAGTGCTGGAAGAGGAGCCTGCAGCCAGGCAGGTGCTCTGCCTCCGTGACAGTCTTTCACACGCAGTTTGTTCAAGATACAAACACTATTAAGAAAAACTCAAAAATGGATGAAAATGATCTTTCAATAGCTATCAGATAAACACCTTTCATTTATCCTTACTCTTGCACTTACAAGCCGCCTGAGTTTCTCTATCAGATCACGTTGACTAATGCTTTTAAATTCGGAAGCTAGCGATTTCAGCATTACTGTATTATCTCCATTTTTCTATAGCAAACTTTTTCTAGTTATCCTCAACTACCTTAAATATATCTGAAAAAACTGCCCAGACACAGGAAACAAGCATAATGACATTGTAAATTCAGTGGACATGTCCATAAAAATTACTTGGTAGCGATAGTGATTTGGTGAAATCATACATTAAGCTATAAAAGGCTGCAATTCAGCATAAAGGAATGTCTCAAAAACAATTTTGTTTGTACAGTTGTCTTCATGTAGCTCTGTTTTATGACTAACAATTTAATTTAAAAGGATCTTCAAACAATAAAACCCATTTTTTCCCCAGCATGTTAGCAGTACAACCTAAAAATCAAAGGCCTGAAGTCACTAACAGTCACTTGTGACATGACTTAAGGCAGGGACTGGAGTTTGGTAGCAGTGGAGCTGCCAGCATCCGCAGCCGACGCCAGAGGGAGCGGAGGGAGCGCGGATGCTTGCACAAACACAGCACGAGCACGGCAAGGTGGAGAAATGCCAACCACCAGCACCTCACATTTTCAAGTGAACGCTTTTCTTAGTGTTACAGCAAAAATTAGTTCCACAAGTAGCCTCAATCGTATACGTTATCCTGCTTTCACTTCAAAATATTGCAAAGACAGAAAAAGCCACCAATTTATATGTATCAGCAGCAACTACAGATTTCTCATCAAGTTTTTAAAGTTAGCAAGGGCTATTTATTATTACTATGATATATTAATGAGGATATCACTTATAAAAATGCATAGCACAGCAAGCATAAACAGGAAAAATGAATTCCTGCAGCAGTAAGGTGTTAATTTACCTTAGCTTGCTGCTTTGGGACTACTAAATGGCATCTTTAGACCCCCAGAAAAAAGTCCCTAAGTGGGGCTTACAGCACTTCGTTCTGTATCAGATTTTCAAAAGTCATTTATTTATGCTGCACTAGGAGCAAGACTGAGGTGACTTTAAAGCATCTGATTTTTCCCCCCCTTTGAATTCACATAAAGAGACTTAGGGCAGTTAGTCTGGGCAGTCTTATTTTACTGGTGATGGAGAAGAGATGTACAGAATTAGAAAAGCACCGGTACCCATTTTGTAACTATATCCCCAAGTAGCTCTCAAAAGAACTGCTATGGGTGGTTATTTGTATTGTTTGGGATATTAACCATTAGTTTTAAATCAATACTGCTAAGTGTAATTTCAAAGAGGTGTTGAAATGAAGTGTTTGAACTTCTACACAAACACAAATCTCTTTTCAGCCAAAACAACTCATCATCATTGGCCCAACTTTGGTATCAGTTGTGACTAAATTGGTGAATGAACCATGAAAGTGCAGGAGGCAGCGTGTACTCCAGTCCTAGAAGGAGCACCTTTGAACTCAAACACGCTGCTGCAGAGGCGCCAGGGGTTGAGCAGGGCAGTGCACAAGCCCTCCTTGCCAAGGCCTGTGATCAAAGCTGCACTTGCCTCCCCATCAGAGGTCAGCAGGCGAGGTCACCTCCAAGGACACCTCAGCGCATGCATAACCCACCTCTTGCCATGTTTTGGCAAGATGGACACATTTACGCAGCCTTCTGTGGACAGATGCACTCTTCCTCTGCCCATGGTCGGAGTCAGCCAGGAGCTACTGGGATGCACTAGCAGGCTGTTAAACCCCAGCTAATACACTCTGTTATCACAGCTACAACTTGTGGCCAGCTCAGGATGCAGGCAAAATGAGCATGTCGCCGCCGGCACTGGGCACACGGTCGTACGGCATTCAGAGCGGTGGAGGTAGTATGGCACTGCAGGCACCATGGAGTCAGCACCGGCAGGCAGATGGTGATGCGGGGAAGCTTACACAAACCCTCTCCCCAGACTGCCACGCTGCCCATCTCTGTAAGTGACAAAACCCACCCTGTCACTACCCTCGCACCTGCCCAAAATATCCGGCAGTTGCCTCTGCTTACCAAAGGCTGCTGCGGTTGCACGGGCTGGAGACCAAGCGCCTGCTGCTGCCCCTGCTGCTGCTGCTGCAACTGAAAGAAGATGGGCATTGAACCAAGTGACACGACACGCACGCTACCTCAGGGAATGACTACGAGCCAAGCAATATGGCTTCTCATGACTGATGCCCAGCACAGGATCTGGGCTCGCTTACAGCATTGGTTACTGAAGGCCCCATTTGGGAGATTAGCCTCACAGCTTTCCACTTTCATCGTCAGCCACACCAAGGCTGACAACTAAATATACCAGCTTTTGAGTAGACAAAAAAATACTCAAAAGCTGGTATATTTAGTTTACTACAACGTCAAAATATTTAGATAAAATACATCGTCGTTCAACAAGAACTGGCACAGATAGCTATTGCATTAAAATGAAAACATGAAAATAACTCCAACCATCAAAGGGACATGGGAAGGATTTTTAATGTAATTTACTTCCCCTGTGCCAAGCCCTACATATTTAGCTGATAAACTGATACTTACCTCCAAATTAAAAATATATCATCAAATCAGAATATAGGAAGTAGGCCAGACAGGAAGCAAGCCCTTCGATTTAATTCCAGTATATATTATAAGGCCAGACAGGGGAGAGCACAACCACTGCTTTTGTCTCAGCACATTCAGCTAGGCCGTTCACAAATTTACCTTCTCCAGAGGCATTCTACAGTCTTGAAAAATGAAAGTACTGAATTTTACATATATGTCCAGAGCTCTCTTTTGGAAATCCCAAATGTAAACAATGAATTATTGCACTTGAGTAAAAGCAGTTTGGGTTTATAGCACCAGGATAGCACCAGGCTCTGCTGCTTTAGACTTGAATACACATGCAAGCGAGTGTGTAACGCCATCACCTGATACAGTGATGTTTACACTCCCTTCCTGCACTGAAATATCCCTGGCTTCTAGTGCAGCTGTGTCCCTCACCTGGAAGAGTCTCTGCTGTCGCATCTGCTGCTGTCTCTGTCTCATTGGCTCTGGAGGCAGCTGTACTGAGTTCAGGGTCGGATGAGGACCTGCGGTCGATGCACTGTCCAGTCCCCCTCCAACCAGTGAATTTGGCTGCAAAGGCTGATGGCTCAATCTGATTGGGGAAAAAAATAACAGCTTATATACAGCTTACACTTCAATATTCCATAATAGAAGCCGTACCATACTATTGCCCAGTAACTGATGTAGGTAATAACACATTCCTCTAAACAAGAAGAACAGATCCAAGCATTCAATTCTTGCTTTATTAGGAAGAGTGATGAGTTTCTACATTTCAAGCAAGAATTCCACATGAGAGCTAAAACATTCTCCCAACCAAAACATCTCATAGTTACACTACCATGAATTTAAAACTGATTATAAAGACTTTTTACTTCCTAAAATACTGAAAAAGCACACCAAGTAAGAAACACTTTCTTAGGATGTTATGGGAGTAATTAACATTGACAAAGCAGAAAGATATACATGAGGAAAAACGTTAGCTAGCTCGTAATTTAGATTAGCTGTTTAAAACAGTAAAGACAAGGCAATTCAGGTTAGCAGCTTTATTCCTAACGCAAGGCATCCTGTAGGTTTTCATACAAGGCTGTCAACCAAGTCAAGGCCAAACTTTTTGAAGAGGTGCAAACATACCCAAAATTGAGCATATTGTTAACATATCCAGGCTCGCAAGAATTTAAAGGAAGTTAAGGAACCAGTGATTGCTGCAGAACATATGGTAATGTTCACAATTCCAGAAACACTGATTTAATTAAAAATAACAAGAGTTGAGGGAGAATTGCATAGCTACATACACGACACTTTCATATTCTGCTTACAACAAGCAACTGATGAGCAAGTTGTTTAAGTACACCTGAACTTAGCATCTAAAGGAGATTTCGGTTTTGGGATCAAATTAGAGCTGAAGCAGAGAAAGAAGAATATCTCTACTTGGTAACAGAGCTCACCAGGGGTACTCCAGGATAAATTACATGGGATCAGCGAGACAGGACTGAAGCTCTGCTGACAGGCCAGACCACCTTGTGATGACTGACATCTATGTACTCTGCTGTTTCAATGAATCTGTGACCCGCACACGGGAAGAGCGCTGCGCTGTGCAGATACTCCATCACAGCTACTGCTGGACAGTGCGTACAGAGGCAGACCTTGCAAATTCTTACTGTTCTCCCCCCCTCCCCCCTTTAATTTAAGCCTGTTTTGGGGGAATCTCTCTACTGAACATGTCTACTTGAAGTGGAAATTAAAAGTGGCAAAATTTCTGATTCAGTTAAGAGCCGAGTTGGACTGTTAGTTGGACTATGCTAGACTGTAAGAAAAAAAAAAAATCTGATTCAAGACAGTAATTGGAAACTCCAGTTTTCCACTCGGCTTACTCGGTAACACTCCCTTTTACAGATTTCTTTCCTGCTTCATCTGCCTTCTGTTTCATTGCATTTCTTTACCAATGAATTTTTCCTGTTTCTCATAGGCACTGCAACTCAGCTGTACTTCCGAAGTGAAGTCAATTTAGTCTATTCAGGCTTAAGCAAAATTCATTTGTCTATTGCTAGTTAAACTACAAAGTTGGTGTTGTGTTTTCTTGACTACAGACTCTTTGGTAAACCGGGAATATTTATTGTTTAATACCACACACGTGTTTGCATAATATGGATACCATATCTATGTGTGTAGTGAAATAGGATCCAACAGCTGTCTTTACATGAATTTTTATGTTCTACAAACACACAGGACAACTGGGCTAGAACGTGCGCCAAGACCAACTTAACACAAAAATTAAATGAGGGAAAAAACAGGGAAATTGGAGAGAAAGGCATACTTATTGCTAATTAGACCCAGCGTTAACCTCATTTTGATTAATACACTTTATTTTAAATAAAGCTTTAGATCTCTAAACAAAGTTGCCATTAAAATACTGCAATGTTACCAGCTATGAGAACTGCAGAAGCTCACCGCTGAGTGCCTGTCAAAGGCTGGATGTACGCAGCGGCCTGCTGTTGAATATATCCGCTGGGCTGCTGTTGCATCTGCCGCAGCCTCTCCATCAGCGTGGGGCTGGAATGAGCTGCCGTGTATGCTCGGGGGTTGTAGCTGGGGGAAAGCACTACACCACCAGGCTGCTGCTGCTGCAGAGGCATCTGAGTGCTGTACATCGTGTATCCGTGAGGCATGCTCTGCACAGAAAACAGAAGAGTAACATCATTGTGCCCATATTTAAATTAGCTTAACTATAAAAGAAAAAGATGGCCTTTATCAAAGAGCCAAAGCCTGGACAACCAGAGGCAAGTCAGTGAGACGCAGTGCTGTACCCATGCACCGACCTGTGAGTCACCCACTCTGGTGTACCCCACTTCTGTTTGCAGGTTCAGGCAGCTGCAACGTGGTCACATGCAGCAGGATGGAACTTGCACCATGCCACCCTTCCCTGAGAGGCACTGAGCAAGAGCAGGGCTCTGCTCCACAGCTCCAGCTCTCTCCTTTTCTTTGTTTCCCCCCCTCAAAATCCGAAGTACCAGAATGACCATGACATAATAAAGATTTACTGGTATCACTATCTCCCCAAAAATTGGCCAAATTTCAGGCTTAATGCTGAAGTACACTTGCCTTTACCAGCAACAACATTAGGAAAAACTGGGAAGTGACCACATTAAAAACGTTTACAAGCTGCAGCGTGCGGAGACTGCAAGCATCCTAGAAGGAGGCCTCACCATTACCCTAGGCCACATGCACGAGGCATGTCCCAAGCACAGAAAAGCAGGCTGGGAAGTAAAGGAGCTCTGTTTAAAAGCATTTTTATGCAGACACTCCATGGGAGTAGTGCAGTACCTGTGCTTGCTGCAACCCTGGGTACTGTGGAAGCTGAGACGGGGGTCGAACTTGTGGAGTGAAAATAGCAGCTTGGTCCATTGGCTGACCCTGAAAGACACATCACCCATCAGATATGGCCTCCACACCCCGAACAAGTCCAGTTCTGGACACAAACCCCACCAAGTTGTGTCCTAAAGAGTCATGGAGAGACTTGACCATTTCCTTCAAGACAGCACTGTTGCTCAGTGCCAAACTGCTGAACTGTATTTACACATAGGGAGATGGAAGAATTGACTTTTGTTTGATTTCTGACAGTACTGTAACACTGCAGCAGTGAAGAAACAGCCATTTACTGAACAGAGGTCTTGCAGACACCCTTTAAAATGGGGCTTTGCAAAGGATTAGAGGAAGAAAATATTCTAGCTGTCTTGAAGACAGTACATTAAATTGTACAGGAAGCTTAGAGTGAATGACAGTCTTTAGTATAAATACACAGTTGATATCTTTCTCAGGCTACCTGATCACTAGCTTTCCCCCAGATGAAGCAGGCAAAATGCTGATTAGCAAATTTTATGATGACATACAAAATAACAGTATGATAAATGGGTAACACAAGCATCTCCAGCTCCCAACCAGTACAGCTTGGAAACACAGTCTGTATTTGTGATCAGCAGACAGCCTAGTTGGTTCATTTCAAATTGCCTCAATATTTATGTGCAATTAATGGCATTTAAAGATTTCAACTATAACTACATTAGTATGCTTTGAAGCACCAGAAAAGAGGGAAAAATAACGTTAGACTTAATTTCAGTACCGAGGTTGTAAAAAACTGGTGAATGAGAATTTGCCAAGGATACAATCAAGTCTGTGTATTTTCTGTATGATTGCGATGCTGCACAGCTGCACTTGATCATTTTGAAAACCATTCTACTCAAAAAAGTTCAGTGGCAGACATGAGCTGGAAGCAGCGATGCTCCTTCCCTGTAGCTGCCCAGTTCACCACAGAACCAAACAAAAAATCCAAGTCCTCCAACAAAGCCTTTGTCATTTTAATCAGGATATCCTTACAGAGATGTATTATAATTTAAGGCTAAAAGTGACTTTGATAACACACTGCAAGCAACAACATTACAATCAGGGCTACCCGGTGGAAAAGAAAATCTCACATGGGATAAAATACTGAAGCACCATTGGAACTCTCCTTCTTTATCTGCTCCCATCCCTTTAGTGGTAACTGTACCAAGCGTTAACAAGTCTGTAAGCACAACCAGCAGTCCTGCATTTCAGCTATTATTTTGGATTGGGTTTAAAAATATGTGCATCCTCATCGACAGACCTGGGAAATAAGCAGAGCTACCTATTGAGAACGGGAATCACTCAGGGAAGCAGTACGGTAGAGAGAAAGCATTCCAGCTTCAACCAATCCAGCCCCAAGAGACATGAACCGCTGTGACAGGGGCTGGATTAATTGCCCGGTGCTTTGGGTAGAGAACAGACAAAAGAGGTCAAGGACAAGATGCAAAATCAGGGCAAAGCTACCACAGGGTGCCACAGAGTTGTCACACACTCATTTTTCATACCGTCCTTTCTTTTAAAAACAAACAAACAAACAGACTGACCTAGCTAGGCTCTGTGCCAGCCTCAGGGACCATCGCTAAAGGGGTCACTAAGGTGCAGACAAGATAGAACAGAGCTCTGATACAATAAGCTACACTAAGGAGGCAGAAGCTACACTAAAGGTTTGTTTTAAAAAGAAGCCAATATCTCATGGACAATTCTGAAAAACAAATTAGGGAGTACAGGAGGTGTGAGCAGAGTAACATCTATCAGTCCTGACAAAATTTATCCGGAAAAACATCTGCAAAATCAGACAGGGAGCTCTCAAAAGAACGTGATAGGTGAGAAACTGAAACGCTGAACAGAACGTACATCTTGCAGACGGGATGCACATAAAACAGATGTCAGCCAAGTACAGGGGAAAGGTACTCAAGAACTTAAGATTTTTCTTTTTTTAAACACAGGCAAAAGAAGAAAAACAAAAAAAAGAACAATAATTTCTCTGAGCAAACTGCTTCTGAAACTTTTTCCTAAGGTGCCAACCACAGGATAAAGATGTAACTTGAAGTCACCCAAAGGTGAAATCTGGTAAAACCATGACTGATTTCTAGAAAAACTGGTGCCTTCAGCTATTCCCCGCAGTAATACAAACCACCTTGTGGGTTCTGTGGAAGCTGGTCTGTAGAGCGGTGCTCCATGTGTTATCCTTTTGTTTCTCTCAGTGACAGCTAACCTGGTGTGCCCAAGAGCAAAATTTGTTCACTCATGCCCATGCAGTGAAAACAGCATCCCTCCAAAGTCAGTGAAAGTTATATCAATGGAAATTGGATTAGGCCCTAATTCTGTAAGAAAATACTAAATAAGCAGCTGCATGATCCCAGCAATACACAGTGCTCAGAGAGCCACAAGTGAGTTTTGTCCACCGATCTTTTCCCCACCATTTAAAGCACACACAAAGCAGCGGAGCTGACAGACTCAACAGCAGCACACCTGTACTGAAGGCACCACTGCCCAGGCCAGGCAAGCACCACACACAGAAGCACATGCGAAATGGAAGCAAAAAGCTGTTCGTTAGGTAGGGGACAGATCAATTTATTCCACGGCAGCACACAGCCACCGAGCAAGCTCCCATGTTGTGAGAGAGTGCTCTGCATTCCTGAGCAGCAGCAGCAGATGTTGCTAAATTCAAAGGGACTTCTCCCTCTGGGCATAATTTAGTAAAGAGTTAACTAAACATGCAAGCCAATTGCTGCAAGCCAGAACTGTGCATGCATGTCAAACAGAAACAAAACAAAAAAGGAGAAAAAACCCAAACGCTTTTATTCAATGCTGAGGCAATGTTACAGTAATAACCACTGTTCTCTTTGTTCTACTCGCACCTTAAATTGAAGCAAAACTCACTGCTTTGTCCTGTTAAGGTATGCGACCATAGTGTATTTGGAAGGAATTTTCTTTTCTAGGTGGTGCTGGGACTGGCAAAGGTGACTGTAGCAGCCATGGCACTGTAGGCTGATTTTGACCAGAATCTGACCAAATCTGACTTCGAAAGTAGGTAGTGAAACACTAACACTTATTTAGATAAGAAGATGATGATAGATTTGAGAGACCTCACTGTATACTTGCTGCATATCTAGATGTGCCTAATTAACTTCAAATATGGTGATCTATACCCTGTTCTGATGTGCTACCCGTAATAACAGGAATGATTGCACATATATAAAATATGGACAACAGGGTAAGCAGCAAAGCCTTTTTAAAAACACATTTTGCTTTGTCTTTCCAATTAGTGCTTTTAACAACATTGCAGTTTCCCTAAGACAGGACAAAAGTCCTGCAAACTAACTCTGAAACAGCTTTTCTAATTAGTATCTGGAAAGCTTTCCAACACAGATATTAGGGATGAAACTTCATGCCATCATTGTTTTTCTCCAGAAACAACTGAATTCTATGAAACTTAATAATTTAACAGGTAAGTGTTAGCTGTTACTTGTTTTGGAAGTAACCAAATATGGTTATTCTAATAACCACACATCCTGCCATAGTTTAGGAACTGACCGTCAGGTAGTATACTGTCATGCTCAGGTGGGACAAGAAGTATTTTGGAAACTACAGCTCACGTGGGGCCAGGGGAGCTGACCCTCACTGCCTGAGCTAAGCGGCACAACTGCGTCTCGCTGTAGCGGGAACAGGCCCATGCCAGGAATGGCTCCAAGTGCAGCCTGGGAAGCACTGGTGGCATGCGCTGGCCAAAAAGGACTTGTGGTCCATCCCTTACTGCTCATCTGACATGGCAGGCACCACTACCCCACCTTATGTCATGGTAGAAGCTGCCACAGTGGATGGCAGCAGAGAGGACCAGACCCAGCCACCAGCAGGGAGATGAGGGCAGAATGGGAACGCGCCAGCCATGCTAAGATGCACATGGCATCAGACATATCTTGCAGCTACTCTAATCCTTCACAGCGAGAAACACAACAGAAGAGGAAAAAAAATTAATCAGTGATGCAGTTATTGGAAATATTTGTAAGAAAAAAATATTCTCCATGTGCAAGTGTATTCACAGCCTTCCCACATGCAGCCACTGCGCTACCTAGGTGAGAGGAGTGCCAAAGCGTATCATTCTCATCAAAAGCAAAGTGTGCAGCCTGTGTGTTGAAAAAAATGCATGTTTGTGCGAAAGAAAAAATGAAGAGAAGTTCACGGTCTCAGAGTGGTTACCATTATGTTGTCAAAGCCATCCTGAAGGGATACAGCAGTGCTACAGACATCCTAAAGGAAAAGGACAGGCAAGAAAATAGCAAACAGTACAAAGAATATAGACGATTAGGCTCAGATCGCTAGTGGAGCAGTACAGCACCTTTACAGAGCTCACCTGTATGTACTCAAAGGATGCTGGTGTTAAGGAATGCTAACAAGGTCCTTTTTGGGGGGGGGAGGGGGTGGTGGTGGTGGTGTATGCTAATGAACCTCAATACTTTTATGAAATTTATGAACAGAAACTCTAAACGTGGAAAGGACTCCTTACCATCCACAGAAGCCTAATAATTCTATACACAATACTTAACATTTTTTTAACAGGTCATAGCTCTTACAGACATTGCACCATAGCTACTCGTTTTAAAGAGCACAGCATGTACGGCACAAGCACTAAAGAGCAGAGTCCTCCTGGACTGATTTTACAGAACTGTCCACACCAGTGCCAGTGATTTCAAGCTGAGTAGGTAATTTCATTCTGCAGCTGCAGAAACATAAAAACTAAAGAAGAAATCTTCCTTATTTAAGCTCTACCTAACAACATACACCACACAGCAGCAATTCTTACAAATCATCTTGTTCCTAAATTTTCAAATTCTACCTTCAGGCTTGTACACTGCCATAGCATTTCCTACTCTAAATCCTCGGAGGCGTTTCTCTGGTGTCAGCATTGCCAGCACATGCTTAAACAAGGAAAGCGAACAGGACGGCCTGGTGAATTGTTCATTCATTTCATTACAGTGAAAGTTTTCAAGTATCAGGCTGAATGAATCCTTCCAAACATCCAGTAAGGCAAAATATTAGAACCAGACAGAAAACAATGTGTCTATCTGTGGTACGCCCCAGCACACCACAAAGGACCTGGCTGTGCATGCCACTGTGTGGAAGTAACTGGGAAACAAAGGCTGGGCTTGGGTGGCTCTGGTTTGACTTGGTTTACATCAGTTTAACTTATACTGACTTATTGCTGAAATAAAAACATGGCTGATATGGAACCGTTGACTGACGAACATCCAGCACATGTTGTACGTTAGCTGAAATACGCATCTGAACCTACCCTGTTGAATTTTAGTGCAGCTTTTACATTGTAAAAGTTCGATCCAAATTTTATGAAAAAGTTCATCACAGACACCTTATTAATCTTATTTAGGCATGGATTCATGCCTTCATGATAAGTTTATTCTCCTTCCTGACAACCTGTCTATGCAGCACTTTGGAGCAGAAGTTAACCGTTGCTCTTAACACCTCAGATACTGTCCCTCTTTGAAACCAAAAGGGAAATGCAACATCTTTTGTCCTCTAAACATGACAGTGCTAAACAACAGCATTTCTTAAATGTGGGAATAATGTGTTATTTTATATCTTCAATTATTGCTTTTTGATCCACCTAGCCATAAGTAGTGATCATTATTTGTTTACTCAAGCCTCTTCTCTAAACCTGTATTCTATCATAGTAATTGAAAGCCAGTTGGACCTAACACTAAAATAGTGAGATACTGCCGAATGTAAGAAATACTACAGGGTTAACTGTAGAGCCCAGTACCCTAACATTTAGGGTACCTAATTCTTAGTACCTCGTAGTGCCTACAGGACACCAATGAGGGATCAAATATCCACTGTACCACTGATATTATAAAACACACATCCAGAGCTTTTGGGGGCCGCTTTTTTTTTTTTTTTTTTTTAAGGTAGAAGACAGCACACATACAGGGAAACCCTAGTTTCACAATTATGAACAGCCCCATACAAAACTATTGCAGCCCATCAGCAATTTAAGCACTACGGAGGGCTTTGCATCCATCGTAGCAGAGAGACTGAAAGAGGGATGAGAAGGACAATGAGGGAGCTCTAACAAAATAGAGACAGTGTGGGAGAAATTATGAGGATACTTGCTGAAAATTTTGACTATTTTGAGCAAAGAGGGCACATGACAGAGTTTGAAGGCAAGATAGCATAAAGGCAATGTAATATATACTGCAGTGAGGGTAAGAATGTGTACAGAAGGACTTTAAAATAAAGGTAGGAAGTTACTGGTTTTACCACCAACTACTGTACACATATTGCAGGTTATCTGGGATCAAAACCCCAATTTTCTGTTCTTACACCATCAATTCAAAAGCAGTCTGTCTGTAGCCATATTCTGAAACTAGCTCAGGCTCCAAAGGGTGTTGCACAATAGCCATGTGCGGTTTGGCACACAGCAGCTGTACTCTGCAAAAGTGTTAGGAGAAGAAATACCAGCTATTTCTAGAGAACATGGACGTCTGTGTGCACACGTGTATGGAAATGGCTCCTGCTGGACTTCCTGAATTTTTAGTTGTGAAGAGCACTGCTGTGCCTCTGCTGCTTACTTGTAGCTTGGTGGTACATAGCACCATGCAATTCCACTATGAAAGCCTCTGTGACACAACAGTGAACAAGATATCATCAAGTAGCAGAAGCAAAACCTGATTTTATGAAACACAGGAAAAATAGAAGGGGCTAAGAGACCAAAGGGCAAATGAAGTTTAAAAGCAGATGGCTCTGGTTAAGCAATATTTGGGGAGTTATTGCAACTGTCACTATCAGCTGGCTCTCCACTCGATAAGCCTATGCAGGGCAAGCAGCCCCAACGGAAGGCAAAACCACTGTGTTGCTCTTCAGACCTGGGGGTTTGGACAAACCTGTTGGAGAGACCGTGACTGTGCTTGCTGCCTGAGGAGTCGCTGCTGCTGCTGCTCTTGCTGCAGGAGTTTCATCTGGAGCAACTGCTGCTGAGGTGTGATTGCATGGATAGAGGGGGGCTGCATCATGGTGCCAGAGCGCCGCTGCAGCATGTTCGACAGGGCTTGCTTCGTATTAGTTGGAACAAAGGAGCCTGTCGGATCCAGCCTGGAACCACCTAAAAACCACCCAAAACACAAATGCGTTCTCTGCCTTTCGTAAGAACGTTGTTGGTACAGATCACTGCTAATTCATCAGCTCCTATTTTGTTAGCTCTACAGTAATGATGATAAACTTATCTCTGTAAAGGCAGTGAACTGGATTAAACCAGATTACTGGTCTGAAAAATTAAATGGGCAACATAACTTTGAAGACTACCACTTGCAAATGAGAACAAAAAGTAAACAGGCTATGGGCTGTTGCATGTTCTACATCACATAAAACGTTTGACTACTACTGAAAAGCCAAAGTTGCATGTCAGATCAAAAGCATGATATGAACGGCTTATGATGTCAAGACAATTTTATCATGAGACGGCAATAGTTTATGCACTCTATGCTATTTGATAAAAATCATGTATCTATCTATAAGTTAGACTTATGAAGGTAATCTTATACATATTTTTTTTAAATCAGCATTTCCTTAACTTTGTAGCCACTGTCTGGTATTTTCTGAAGACTTTTATGCACTTAAATACAGATCTAGTTGTATTTAGAGCTTCAGAAAAAATATTTTATGTTTATAACTGGAACCAAACTTCCAAACTTCTCCTGCATAATATCTGAGAAGGACAGAGTAGTATTTCTCAAAACATCATAAACTGCTGCACCCTAGAGCAAGTAAAATACCTATGTTAAATTGTATACGCATTAACTGGAAGAAACAAAACAAGCCTACAAATAATTAAGTACATATCACAAATCCTGAAAAACAAGTGAGCCCATGGATTTATTTATTCCATCTGGCAGATGTTAAATTAGCCACCATGGTTCTTGGTATGAATCAAAGAAGAAATAACCCAAAAGTCATTTGTTCCTTTTAATCATCCCTCTTATTTCACTCCTCATTGAACTTCTACCAGCTTTCTTATACTATCACCACAGTAGGTCATTTTTGCTTATCAATGAAAAAAGTTTAATAGCTTAATAGAGACAGACCTACAACTGATAATAGAAAGCCCTTCAAAAAAAACAGCTAACTAAGGAATAAAATAAATGGCATTGGCAGACACAGCCTGCTTCGGAGAAAGTTAGAAACAAAACGTGGTTATAAGAAGTCAATTTTTATCATACATCAAATAATAAAGCCCCATGTCTGTGAATTCAAAGCTTACACATACCTGGTGGGAGGGGCTGGTTCTGCACGAAGAAGCCAGGCTGCTGCGGCTGTCCCATGATGTTGTAACCCCACAAGGCAGACTGAGGATGATGCATCATTTGAGAGGAAATTGGTGAATAAGTGGGAGGCACTCTATATAAGTTGTTCTGTGGATATTCCTTAAAATACACAGTAAAAGTGAATGTTACTGACATTCATACCTTACTAACTCATAAATAATGCCAATTTTCCTACTAAATTATTAAAGGACAGAGACAGTTCCCATTGTCGTTTGCAATGATGTAAAAAACAGATTAAGTCTCAGGCTGCCCACAGGTAATTAACACTAACAACTTCATAGACACACCAACCATTTTTACCTTATTAGCAAGTATTTTCTGCAGGCTATAATTAGGTATAGCACAAGGACAGCTTACTGTATCAGTATATAAATAACAGGAGGAACTTAACTGAAACATCAAAAAGGCCAGAAAACGATCTTAAAATTACAGCTACTTAAAAGGCAACACATTGACAAAACAGCTGGATGCTAACAGAATACTATCATGTCTACAACATGTACGACTACACTGGCAGCAGTGTGAAGAGGATGTAATCGCACAGAATGCTGCTACTGGAAACGTACATTATTATTTGGGTGGTGCCAGGCATGTTTTTCAAACCCGTGCTCTATGTCATTCTTCACCTTAGGAACCTACACCTCAAAACCCATTAAAACCAAAAGAGAAAGTGTCTCAGAAACCAGAACAAACTGCACAGTAAAACAGTTTATCTGTGTGAAAGAGCTGCTTTCAAATTGGTTTCCATTTGAATGGGACCTGGGTTTGAACCAGCATGTTTGCTCTCAACATAATTTGAACAGGAGGAATTTTAGAAATTGACACAAACAATAACAGCTGTACTTTACACCAAACAAGAGAGAGCATATATGGAACCCGAATAATATTTAGTGAGTAAGATCCAGTCTAGCATATGATCTGGATGAGGGGATCGAGTGCACCCTCAGTAAGTTTGCAGACGACACCAAGTTGGGCGGCAGTGTTGATCTGATGATTCTATGATTCTATGATTCTAAAACCCATTAAAACCAAAAGAGAAAGTGTCTCAGAAACCAGAACAAACTGGACAGTAAAACAGTTTATCTGTGTGAAAGAGCTGCTTTCAAATTGGTTTCCATTTGAATGGGACCTGGGTTTGAACCAGCATGTTTGCTCTCAACATAATTTGAACAGGAGGAATTTTAGAAATTGACACAAACAATAACTGCTGTACTTTACACCAAACAAGAGAGAGCATATATGGAACCCGAATAATATTTAGTGAGTAAGATCCAGTCTAGCATATTTTACATAGCACATAAGGTCCTAAGCACAGTACATTCCTCTACGCTGAGCTCTGTTTGATAGAAATCCACCCTCCTTCTGACCATCTCCATTCACTCCCTTTATTAGGACCCGGTCCTCCAGGTGCAGAACAATTTCTGAAGGTAGCTAAGACAGCACCATGCAACACCAGATGCTTCGGCGAGGTATTTCAAGTTTTGTATGGGGCACCAACTACTTACATCAGCCCTTGAGCTTGACTTTGACTTTCGCTTCCTGCCCTTTGTCTTCTTCTCGTCATCCGTGGCAAGTTTTCCCTGATCTGAGAGCTCTCCTGACTTTCTTTCTGGTTCCTGAGAGACAGGTGTGGTGGGCTCTTCCTCCTCCTCCTCTGGAGGAAGGGGCAAGGGCTCGAGGTAGTAACTCCGTGGCTTGGGTTTGGTGTGCGTGTGGTACAGGAGGAGATGCTGCTGCTCCTCATACTTTATCACTTTCCTATCGACACGAACTGTACCAAACCACGCCCAGGAGAGAGGAGCAGGATTTTTGTGACCTTCAAATAAATCCCAAGGGGACACCTTTTGTTTTGTTGAAACCTGAAGACCCTGTTTCAGAATAAAAATGAAGTTAGTATTTTAAGAAAATTGAATGCTAGAGCAGACTACTTGCTTTTGTACATCATTATTTGAGTCAGAAAAATCCATTAAGGATTTTTTTCCCTCCACAAAATGTACCAAATGCATACTGGTGGGATTTTAAACCTCTGTCCAAGGCCACCACTAGATAAAAGCAGTTATATTTTTATAGTACCATTTGCTTACAGCTGTGCTAAAAATCTCAAGTTCCATCTATCATATTTTGGAGGAAAAGTCAAATATCTATTAAAAATTGCTAATCTGAGAATACGCTTGCTAGAAGTTTACATATTCAAATAAGGGGAGATAAGCCTAAGCAGTATATCACAAAAAAATGCCTACCTAGTCTGCAGAATAAAAAGCTCTATCCTAAGCTCTATCCTTCTCTTTTAAATAAATTCACTTTAAAAAGTTATGCATCCCTTCGTACTCCAAAAAAAATCCAAAACAACTAATACACTTCCCCCCCTCCTTTTTTCCCCTGTCTTTTGTAAGCAGGATCACACCCTCCATCTTCCTCCCAGCAAGTAACAGGTGAAAAGGTTCCCAGGTTAAATGAGCTCTCAAATGTAGGATTCTGCTTGAAAAGCAAATAATTTTCTAAGAGCTTCTGCTGTTCAACTCCAAGTCAAACATAATTTTCTTTTTGGCAGCTTTTGTGGAGTTGGCTCCAGTCAAGACCCTATATTGCAAAACTGAGCAAGCTTATGTCAAAACTCATCACGTTAGCAGTTACAAATTGACCATGCACTCTGCGGATTTAACAAGGAAGGATATGCAGCAAACATGATGACTGAATTTTAAACAAATCAGAAAGTGAAAGGTTACGCAAACTATTGAATTTGTATGAGTGGCATAAAACTGTTTCCATTAAAGATGCGTGTATATCTACATCTCTGAGTCTATCTGCAGGTATCAGTGAATTGTCAGGGAGGGGAGGATGGAATCACTGTCAGTGCTGCTGCAGGGGTGGTGACGCTGGTGCATGGTCCAAGTCACACTAGGCTGCTCAAACCCGTTCAGCTGGGGTTTAACAACTCCCTGCGTGCCTCTCTAAACCCACTCCAGGTTTCACACTATGCCTGAGAATTTTCACATGGATCATGCAAACAAAAACTGTGCAGGAGTATTTGGAACAGAAATACATTTGATACCAAAAAACGGTCTGTCATTTGCAACTACTTTAAAGGTATTATTCTACAAGCCCAGCATTCTTTGCTTTTGGCATCATTGCTCATAGAAAGCCTACCTGTTTAAAAGAGACTGCATTGCTGTGGCTGAAGCTTTAGTAATGACCGAGAGTGCATTAGAAAGCTGTATTACAGAGGAAGTACAATGCTTTTATGATACTGCATATAAACGCATGTACTGTACAAGCTGTATCTGTTTGCTTGTATTTCCTATGCTTCAAAAATCATGGAAAAACTGAGATGAAAGCAAACATTTACTCTTGCCTGTTTCTTATCAATGGAGTCAAATCCTGCAATTTTGTTCCCCTTGGTGTCGATCAAGGATCCCATTGGCTCACACGTAATAATATCACATGTCTGCTTTGGCAAAGGGAGTAGCTGGCGAACCTTGTCAATGCTTTCTGACCGCTTGTCTCCCAGCTCTTTCTAGAGAATAAATACATCAATCAATCAAACAGAAAGGGGGGAAAAAGGGAAGATGAACATTGCACTGCTTTCACTATTAGAAAATGTCCAGTTTCTGGATGAATCGTTTCCTTGTACTTATACTAAATTTAAACAAGTGCCTTTGCAAGGGGTTTTTTTGTTTTCTTTTTTTAAGAACGTAAGTTATCTTTTCATCTCTTGTTTAAACAGAACGTAGAAAATATGTAATACAAATTTAGTGTCTCAAACATCAATAAAAGCAACTAAGTGTCTTGCAGGGTCCCTAAATGTAATTGAACACAAAGAAAATACTAGAAGTCTGTCTTCCCACCCCCACATTCCTGTATTTTTATTTTCTTCTTTTTCTCCTTGTTATCACTAGTGCTGTTTCAGTCTCTCCTCTTTCCCCAAGAGGCCTTCCCAGACACTAGAAATGACAGGATTAAAAGATGAGCACAGAATGCGATTCAAAAGAAATGCTGAAAATGACAAGACATAACACTTACTTTTAATTTTTTCACTAAATTCATGTAAGCCCTCTTGTTTTCCTCAGGCCCTCCTTGGGAAGCGTTTGACAAGTCTGAGGCAAGCGTCCCATTGATGAGGACACCCAGCATATCGAGCACGGTCGTGAACAATTCGCTGAGAGTAAAGACAAGTATTACCCTGAGGAACTGCCGATTGCCAAGAGATCCAGGGACAGATATTCACGGCAAAGGCTACAGATGCAGTTCTTTAGACAAGCCAGGTTTTTCAGGGCTTTCTGCATACACATACAGCTCAGTTTGCATGCGTAACCCCCAGTGTATACATGCAGGTGGACTGTCAAGGCATACACACAAATCTTATTATAAACCCCAGCTCAGAGCTACAGACAGCACAAACTGCTAACAGATAGCCATTAGGAATTACAGGCTCCGACTTAGGAAAGCGCTCAGGTACGTGCTTGTTAAGGAAGAGTGTAAATAGTGCCTCCAGTGCTTTCCAAAATAGAGGTGCTCCCCAAGCAAGACCAGCACTGAGCATATAAGTTGCACTCAAGCAGTAGTAGGATAATAGTAAGAAAAATTTAACAATAACAAACATGCAATCTAAACTTAAAAGCACTAAGGACATGAATTAGCTTGTTTACATAGCACAGACATACTTGTTGGTCTGCATATCAACAGTTCCTGAAGTGATTATCTGGAGGAGCAGAAGTGCCCAGTCTGTGGTCCACTGGGTACTCCTCTGCACAGTATCAAACATGCCACCTACCTGCAAAATAATACAGCAGATAGCAAGGCTCTGCATATATCTCACAGATGCACGCTTCCCTTATCATATGTATTACTGACGAATAAAACTGCTATCCAGTCCCACGAGTTCTTGTGTGCTGAATGCCATCTTGAACTGCTGACTTTAAATAGCTTTTCCTCCCCACCCCATGCTCCCAGCAAAAAGCTTCTCCTAAGAAGGAACTACAGGAAAGCAAAATATTATTACGCTGCTCCTTCAGTTTCATATCTTCACTTTCATGTTTGATGCAACAAACTGAAGTCGGTGAAGAAATTCTCAGAATTGAAAATGTGTTGAATTAAAACTTTATAGTTATCACTTTGCTCCCACACCCAAAAATTAGACAATCATGTCCAGTGCAAAGAGAAAAAAATCTGAAGAACGACATAGCATTGACTGAAAGTGAAAACTGCTAAATGATATATTTTACCCCATGAACAATTTTTCACTATTTCTACCAGTATAGTATGATACTATAAAATATGCTCTGGCTTTAAGAAGGAGCCATTTTACCAAAACGCATCCTTCAAAGGACCAAATTGCAATAATACAAGATACCTGCTCAAGTTGCAAGCCTGATTACCAAACTGGTCAGATAGAGTCCAAACCCCAAATTTCAAAGGTACAACACTTCTAGCTAATGAAAGCACAGCTCAAGCCTTCAGACAGTGACAACCCTGTAAAAGATAAAACACTTCCCTATCGCACAACAGGATTCCTAAGAGAGCTTATGTCAAAATGACACTGCTCTTTCCTTACGGCTGCACTGCAGCCCAGGGTCTTCCTACTCTACCATGATGCTACTGTCAGCTCCGCTGTTTTGCACATCCCTGTACCTAATATCTGCATCAAATCATCTTTCTGACGTTTCCCACTTCACAACTTTCCAAAAATAAATCTTTTTATTTTGTCACGTTTATAGTCACTCTAAATCCCTTCACTGTTTGTCCTTGTAGTTATTTCACTTTACAAAATTCTTCCCCATGCTTAAAGCTTATTTCAGGGTTGTGTCTTGCTCAATAAATACAGAGACTGTTTCAATTCTCAGTACCTGCTTTTAGCTCCTAAACCTTGCTGAGTTTGTATCTAAGATTACTCCTTGAACTATGTAAGTGGTTTATGGTTTACAAAAGGATAAAATCTTGCTGCTTTAATAATAAACCAAATATTGCCCATATCAAGAGTTCTCCCAACCCATGACAAAGTGCATGTCTCCATGGTACTCAGTGGCAGATGACAGCTGCTTTACTTTAAGTGCAGCCGCAGCAATCCCAAAGCTGGTCACAGCTGCCTCAAGTCCCCTTGGCCTGAACCAGTGGCAGCATAAGGCTGTGGTTACCCCTCTGGTTGCACAGCCACATCTTCCAAAGAGATGGAAAACAACAACGCTGCAGTGTTACTCCTACCTTGGTGCTCACCCATTTGGCCTTACATGTAGTCTCCACACACCTACTGCACTGTGCTAAACGAGCCACGGTGGCCCTGGCATCTGGTACAGAGGTTTCAAGAGATGTGGGATGCTGGAGAACTTGACGGAAACTTTCTAAGTTTATTAATACATTTATCCAAGTAGCAGCAACTGAAATTGCACATGTGAGTTAAATAGCCAAATGTTACATTCCCCGAGAGCTCTGAGAGTCTCAACTATATTGACTGCCTAATTCCATAAAATCACTGCTTGTAACACGGGGATAAACCATCAGTGGACAACGGCTTTGAATGTCCACAAAAAGATGATACATTTCTGAAGTTCCAGGGACACTGAAAGGAAGACAGCAGCACAAAAATAAGGCATGAATAAGGTATAGGCTGTCCTTCCTATTCATTTTTTATGAACAATGTCCAAACGTTATGGCCAGGACGCATCAGCTGAAACAAGAGAGACAGGAAGAGAAGAGACAAACACCAATGGAGTCCTTGTGTCAGGGCACAGGGGACACTAACAGCCCTTGCTGTCCCTGGCCAGCCCTACCTAGGGCTACCCCCACCCCCAGGAGCCCCAGGTCAGGAGCCTCAGCCTGTCCCCATGGCCCTGCCTGGCAATGCTGGGGCTGTGTCTGACCCTGGCTCCCCTCACTGGGCCTGATCCTCAGCCCCCCTGAGGGCTGACGTCCTGGTGTGGCCTCAGCCTGTCCCCAACCCAGTGGAGGTGCCTGATGCTCAGGGCTGGGAGCTGCCAGCTCTCAGGGAGCCCTGGCCCCCGCAGTGCCCTGACACAGTGCTTCTTGCTCCTTACCACCTACTCCAGAGTAGCTGCTACATCTTTTTATGACATCAGGATAACCACATACATTTTTCTTACCAAGTTAAGACGAAGTTGTAGGGCTTCATGCATCATTTGCCTAGCTTTAACATCATCCTGGTACCGTTCTTCCCTCCAGTTACTAAGGATCTAAGAAAAAGCATTTGATTAAGGTTGTTTTCTTCCTGTAAAGGAATGTTCTCCCTTTGAAGTTTAAGTATTTGTGACCATTATCTATAAGGAATCGTGAAAGATTATTAACCTTTTTACCTTCATGCCTGTTTAAGGCTTAGAGCAGATTAAGCAAACTAGTGGGGGAAAAAAATTAGTTTGTAAAGAGCTGATAATCTGCTATCAATTGTGTGACTAGATCTTTCTGTTGTAGCAAAAAGAAAATAAGCAGCTTTGTTATGCATTTCTTAAAAATATTGTTTCAAACACTCTATTTAACTGTTCACCATGGGTAAGTAAATAGATCTCTCGCACTGGATGCAGCTTCCCAACAGGATCCGGTGGGATCTCTGGATGAGAAATGACCAGAACCTTAGGGAACCTGGACCAGCTGCATTTCAGGGGAGAACCCATACAGCAAAAGGAAAGCCCAAGTGCCAGTAACACCAGGGGGAAAAAACGTCAAAGGAATGAATTTAACTAGGATGTGGACCTACGTCATAGCCTGGACCTGAGCTGAGAGGCAATATGAGAAAATAATGGCCCTACAGGTATGAATTTTCAGTCACAGTAACTCACAGAAACTAAAGACAGAAAAAAGGAAACATGCACCCACTGCACTGGGCACTGTATGCATTCATTTTAAAGACAGTCTTAAGGAGCTATTGTAGGCTAGAGCATGAACCAGATGGGAGCAGGAAGTCCAGAGCAGAATCAGCAGAGATTGTGAGTAAGCACAAGTGATCCAAAGGAAGAGCTGTAGGCAATGGGCCAGTTTGGGATTAGCAATATTGTTTTCTAAAATATGAAAAACTCTTAATCTGTACCAACTGGAGAAGATGAAGGATTTTCCTAAAGAAGAAAGTTTTGAACTTATAAAAACTTTTTATGATCAAGGTAGAGACTGAGAAGACTTCCTCTCAGGAACATCTTATATTGTTTTTCCTGGAAAGAACTGAAATCAGACTCAAGTTCATTTTATTTCTCTGTAGCAATTTTAGAAAAAAAGATGTATTCACTCTCAAAAAAGAACAAACACCTCCCCATTCTTCCTTCCTTGGACTGTGCCTTTTGGCATACCATTGCACTGTAACTTTACTGGTTTTACACCATTGTATACACATAAAACTGATGACACACAAAACATCTAACAAAGGGTGCTCATGGTTATGTACTTGTTTTACCTGATTAACTTGATTCTGCAGTGATGTTAGAAGCCCTTCCCGTTGCTCATCCTGTCCCTTAAGGCAAGTAAGTACCAATGAAAGGAAAGGTTGCTGACTCAAAAGAGACATGCTTTAAGAGAGGCAAACACAGAAGTCAATTAGTAAAGTTATTTTGATACTTCCCATCCTCACTCCTTTCCTTGTTTTGTCTACTTTTTTCTTCCTGGAAGTGGCATTGCCTCTATCTATGTCTGTTTCTGTTTTAGTAAATTAAAGCCTTGCCAGACGAATTAAAAGAACATGCACTTAAGAAAGCAGAGCACCAGCCAGTAAAAATGCACATACTATGCATGTCATTACTGAGAACCCACCTAGCTCAGGGCATTGAATGACCAAGAATTGCATGGACGCTTGAAGGCATGACTCAGAAACAGAACATGTTATTTTAAGACTACTTTGATTAAACAAGGATATAATTTTAGTGGAGATTAGGCAGCTAAAGTTTCTAATCCCTGTTAGTGGTCTGAAGTGAATCCCAAGTTTCCCCTACAAGCACTGAATAGAATGACAGCTGCCTGAATTCCACTAAAATTCTAACACAGGCTTAGTGTAATTAAACTGAGATGCAGCTTTAGCTGGCTGAGGAGACATGCCATACCAATGCAAGGGCTTTCAGATTTTTTTTTTATTTTTTTTTTAGATCAGTGTGTATCCATTATAAACATAAAATTAAGACAAACTGAAATAAATACACAAAGATCAATTTGGAAGTACAACATGTGAAGTAGAAGAGAAGTTAAAAATGTCAGCAAAGGGATTTGAGTAACAGCTCATGCAATGATTTTTGCAGTTTTAGGTATATAAGGCTCCTTGAAAATTACATGCATCCATAAACACAATATAAACACATATCCATACATACATGTGTGTATTTATTACAAGTATTCATTTCAACAGTTATTTTCATTTGGCATTTAACTTGACTTCAACAATTTAGGTGACAAATAGTATAAAGGAATGGCAAAATCCCAAGGTCCCGTAAAAGGAGCAAAATAGAAAGCCTGCATTTTCAAAAGTCATGTTAAACAGTGATTTTTCAGATTTTAGGAACAACATGGTAGGAACACCTCTTCATTTTCTCATTAATTTCCATTAAAAAAAATTACAGTTTGCAAGACAGTTGTTATTGGAATTGGTATCCCTGCTACACAAAGCAGAGTTTGAAAAAAGAAAAAGAGATCTTACATATGTTATATAAGATTTCATACTTTCCCATAGTATCATTGGTTTTGTCGCTCACAGAGTAGTAAAGTTTGTTTTTGATCAAGAAAAGATTGAAAAGCTTCAAAAAGCACACAAGGAAGTAATTTATTGTTACAACTAGAACAACTTTGTAATGCTTTTACTTCTGTGCATAGGAACCACCGTGGAGGAAGGGCTTGACAGTTTCTACAGGCATTTTATTTCGGCTTTGAAAGAGGCTTGGTTTAGATCTTCTACGCTAGACCTCTCCCGTAGGAAAAGAAATGGAAGACAGAGAGAGGTTCCATATTCCCTTCTACTGATGCAAGTAGCAAGAGAGCCAGTGACTAATGGAAGAGTGCTGAAATGCTGAGAAACACCTAACGAAGAGATCCGAAAAGCAAGATGTCTTTTTTACCTAACAACAGAACAGATCAAGCAGGTATTACAAATGAATTAGAAGGACAAGGAAGAGATGGATTCATAAAGCTAATACAGAGTGTACTTAACTCAAAAACTGAATATGGCAAACAGAACTTCTGTAGGTTGATATATCACATAAGCAGCTTATTAAAGAAACAGCCCGGATGAACTAAGAGGGTCCAGCATAACACAGAGTAATGGGCATACTGCAATTATGATGGAAAGAAAAAAATTAAATCTTCTAACCTTAAAGGGAAAATAAGCTAGGTGGAAGAGGCTGGAAAATAGCAGTAGATTTAAAAGGCTCCACAGAATTTAATGACAACCACAAGTCAAAATCAATACATGCAACACAGTTTACAAGAGTACTACAAAGTGGCAAAGCCCAATTATTGGTCCCACGCTCAGGGAAAGTATACTGCATGAACAACATTGAAGGTGATCAAAAAGACAACGCACACTAGTAACACGTAAGAACAAGAAACTTATGGTGGGACCATATACAACAATCAAATTCTTAAAAGCTTTTAAGAATTTATTTGGTTTTTTCAACAACCGTACTTTGGAAGAGCTTCACAAAAAGAAATATGATTGGTATTTGAAGCTAAGAGACCTTGCTGTGTATAGTATTCAATGTAATTTCTATCATAACTCTAAGAAAGTACAAAGAAATTATAGGCACTGTGAAGGATACTTTACTAAAGGAAAATCAATAACCGCTAAATCATTAAAATTCTCATGCATTTGGAAAGTTAGAGATGAGCTTAAGCTTAATTGCCAACAGGAATTAAGTGACATCTTATGACAATTATGGGATCTTAATGGCAAGAAAAGTGGCCTACTGTCATAGAAGGGAAGAGACAACAAGGCCTCTGACTATTCTTTTAAATCTCTAACATTTCCCATCACCAAGCTGCAGAATAGCCACTGGAAGATATGGTACAAAGCTTTCACACTTCTTCCTCTGAAACCAATGATATTTCTTCAAACTAAATGAAACCTGAACCCTGTTTGGGGTTGATAACTTTTTGTTCCACAAAAGTGAAACAATGAGGTTATGTGAAGCCAAAATCCAGTCCTCAGTATACTCCTCCTTCAAAAAAACCTTTCAGCTCTGCGTACAGGGATTTCCAAAGGTCATACCTTTTTTGTTTCTGTCTATCTCTTTCCTTCTTAGAAGATGACCCCAAATGCTGACCTTTCTCCAGCTCCTCTCCCGCAGCTTTCAAGACCCTACCTTGAACTGAGGTAGGCAGTTTTGCAATCAAGGGAGCCACCAGCCACACTCCTCGCCGCTCAGAGGAACTAGAAGTAGAACAAACTTATTTCAGCCAAAATATCCATGTAGTTTTGCAATCAGTATTAGCTGTTATAAGACTGAACTGCTTTAATAAAGCAGTTGACACAGTGCATCTGGAGTAACTACTGTGGACTGAGCAGTCACAATTTCTGGTTTTCAGAAAATTCAAGAATAGCAATTATATTTATTGTTAAACAAAAGTAAATAGAAGTAACCTCCAGGTAACTCATTTCTGTACGTTCCTGTTTCAAGTGCAAAGAAGTCTAGGCAATCTACACATAATTAAGCATCATGTTGGCTAAAATAATTAAAAAGGTGCTACAAAAAATACCTTAGGAATGTCTTTTTACCATTCTGTCTTGTATTACTTGTGTCAGCATTTCCAACAGAGTTTGGATTGAAGAGGCCTATACCAGAGTTAGAAGAGTTATTGTTTAGATCAGCGGATTGCTGAAACACCTCTATTGTCGCCTTTGCAATATTATCCAACAAGCTGTTCATTTCAGCCACAGACCCAGAACCCTACAGTAAAACATAAGTAAACTAGCACATTCATGGTATGTTTGCTCATGGACTACGTTAAAATTTAACATACTTTTTTGCATTAAATATTTAGATACAAAAGTTTGAAAACAAATACTCACAGGCTCCTTCGTGCACTGTTTGATCATTAGTTGCAGCTCCAACCAAGACTGCCGGAGAGTCCACTGATCTAAGTTCTAGGTAAGAATTAACATTATAAATACATGTGTCAACGCTTTACAGGTCTGAAGAAAAAAAAAAAATCTCATCATTGAATACATTACATGCAAAAGCCTCATCTTATAAGCGGATCATCACAGTCACTACTCTTTAATAGTCTAATGACATCCCAAAATATCAGACCTATTAAAGAATGTATGTTAATTTCCACATCTTTGCAGCTAACATCATTACTCAATACTTCTAACTGTACAACTTTTCTGAATAAAAATCTCACTCTCTGCAAAATCTGAGTTTAGGTACACATGAATACGGAAAATGTAATTCGCTCTTTCATTAGTAATTACATTAATCCATGGCACTGCCATCCAAGTGGACGTGTTTGTATTTAGCACAAGGCCATCTAGACACGATTAAAGTAAATGCAGCAGTTGAAGTAATAATTTTGCAGGACATTGATCACTATTTGTCCTGGTCCAGATATTGCCGACTTGATTCTTCACGGGTCTATTAAACTACAAAATGGATTTTCTTTGAAGAAACGAAGTGTCCCTAGTGCAGCTGAATTTGAAGAAATGATCAGTTTAGGACTGTCCGTGAAGGCGTTTGAGCCTTTTCCATGGAGTAGGAGTGTCTTTCACCACAGTACTGTCACAGAGCCCTACTGAGACAGTAGGCATCTCCACCTAAGCAGCCCTAAAAGCAGCTCCCTTTTCAGTGGCTTCCTAATGACTTACAATGTTGAACAGCAATGATGAGCATGCTGCATGCTTGTTTCCTCCATAACTGTGGAGTCAGAAGTAAGGAGACACCAGAAGTCACAGTATAAAGCATTTACCACAGAGACTGGGGATCCTGAGCACATACAATCTTGAAAGAAGAATCTAATGCTTGATTGCACCAGGAACTGCAAATCAATGTCACTTGGTGATGCTGCTGAATGACAGGTTAAGAGTCAGTGCATCACAGGCAGTTTTTTCCACATTTTCCCCACTGCATTACCTGAAGTATGCGTTTGATGTGCTGCCTCTGAGGGTTGTCACCCTCAGTGCATTCTCTAATACCATGAGGATAACAGATAAGTTGAAGGAGTTTCTGTGCTTGCTTGTTTGAAAGAACGGGATCCAAAATAAGATCTTTGTCTGTGCACAGCCTCTCAGGTTCTTTTAAACAGTGTTCTCCAACCCACTCCTGTAAGTAATCAGATAACAGATTCACAAGACAGTTTCAAGGCAATATTAACTTTTGGTAAGCTAAACAGAAAAGTGATTTTTCCATATGCAAAACTTGAAGTGAACTATGGTTCATGCAATATGTGAGATTAGAAATGTCTTCTGTCATTCAGTACCACCTGAAAATATAAGACTGTTAAAAGGTTTTCCAAAATTCATTTCGTCTATACTTTGAAAGCAACTTTGCAACAAAACGAATGCTACTGCAAAAGCTCTTTGAGTAGACAGCTGATGCAGTGGTCCTACTGTCTTCAGAGTGCTTGAGATTCAGGTAGGAAAAACACCTCAATTCTGACAGAGTGTAGGGAGATGCTAATAACTAACTAAAGCCATCTCCCTCCCCCCCAATAACATACTACTCCGTGTATAAATTGTCCAAATCAGGAAACGCAAACAGAACTCAAATATTGAAATACTTCAACATTCATTTTGCACCAAAATACATGTTACACTTTTCAAATAAAATAACATTGTTTCTCCAAATGAAGACAGAAGAGTAGTTTTAGAGATTACCTGCTGGCAAATTGTTCTTAGCACATATCTAGCATACTCGCTTAAACTAGCAGTTTCTATGGAAACAGCTTTTCCGCATGATTTCAAAGTGTGAGAGGAACCCCAGATTTCATCCTCATTGAGTTCATCTAATAAGCCTCTCATATGGAAGTCTTCACTCTTCAAGGAGTTGACATTGTTGCTGCCAATTTCAGCATCGCCTGTACAGCAGAAGCACAGGAGCACAGGGTGAACTTTTACCCAAGCCCCCATGCCCCTAAACCGCTTACCCACCAAGGGCCGTCTTCGGAGGCACAGGCCAGCTGAGGAGTAAAGCAGGAGTGAGGCAGTCGCATTCAAAAAGGGCAGCACTAACTGACTCTGGAAATGACCATGTTCAAAGTATTGTCCACTTGCTTCACTTTGCATATTATCTTTTTAATGGATATTTCAAAAGTAGGAAAAGGTTTATACAAATCAAACACAAATAAAGCCACTATGTGCTCGACAGGAAAAGGTCTGTGAGAGTATGGAATTGCTTTGACAGATAAGGAAGAGTTGCGTTACTACTTACTCTTCTCAGATGTCCCTTTTCCAAGTCTTCTCTCTTACTTTGATTTATTAACACTCCATACATCAAGAGACAAGTTTTGAGCAGTGGCCCCTTAGCCCACCTTACTATGAACTTCTTGACAAGAGAGATTGATCTTCCTGGGAATGGAAAAGGGCACAGCACGCTGAGGGACCCTGGCAAACACTGGTGAGCCCCTCCTCTCTGCAAGGCACCGGCACAGCTCTATGACCACCATCTACCTGAAACCAACAGGGGCGACCGGAAGAGCAAGGAAAAATACTGTGGACACAAAAAAAAAAATCAGACCCATAGCAGTTCATGTTTTATGTGTTTACGGGCCTGAAACCTTGAACAAGGAAGAAGACGCAACTAGAGCGTGTAGTAGCGGGGAAAACAGCCCAAACTGCTGCACATAACAATACCCTAGAGCCTGTGAGGCCATCCAGGAGCCTGCATGACGACAGCCTGCATGAGAAGCGGGCTAACATAGCCTAATATTTTAAGTCAGCAGAAATTCCTACGCATCTTAACTGATGCACCACAAATAGTCATCCCTTAGAAAACCCCTCAGTTCACTATCAAGATCAACAACTAACATGACGTGACAAGGCTAAACGGCTTGCTTCAGCCACTCAAACACACACACGTTCACCCCAGGGCTTCTGGTTACACATACGCTAGGATTTTTTGCTAAAATCTACAACTACCACCAAAACATTTCAAATTACTGCTGTGAGGCCATCCAGGAGCCTGCATGACGACAGCCTGCATGAGAAGCGGGCTAACATAGCCTAATATAAGTCAGCAGAAATTATTCCGCAGCTTAACTGATGCACCACAAATGATAGTCATCCCTTAGAAAACCCCTCAGTTCACTATCAAGATCAACAACTAACATGACGTGACAAGGCTAAACGGCTTGCTTCAGCCACTCAAACACACACACGTTCACCCCAGGGCTTCTGGTTACACATACGCTAGGATTTTTTGCTAAAATCTACAACTACCACCAAAACATTTCAAATTACTGCACCAAGGATACTGACAGCCTTTCAGCAGCTGTGGCCACATCCCCGGACTACTACACATTTACACAGAGTGCTCAAAACACCACAGTGCGCTGGGTCCTCCTGCGCACTCAGTTCTCCTGTCACTGTTTCTGTGTTCCCCGGTACTGCATTACCGTGGACGAAAAAAAAAAAAAGAGGGTTTAGAAGAGTTACTGCTAAGAAAACCAGCCAACGCCTGTGCCCCTATCCTGGTTTGTGCTGCATTAGAGTTACTCCTAAATAAACAGCATACAATCCTTTTTTTAACAAGGCTGAACTCATATTTAACAGTCTATCAAAACCAGAGCCCTGACTCGCTGTGGCAGACGAGCCTGTACCCAGACAGTACCTCCCGGTGGGTGGCAGCAGTGGCTGTGAGACGACAGCACATGTTTCATCCCCGACCCCTCAGCCAGCTCTGCACGGCCCGCCCAGCAGGCTCACTCAGCTCTCCACTATGGCAGGCACGCTCCTGCCCCAATCTCCTCTGCACAGCCCATTGCAGCACAAGGAATCAACTCCTTACAGAGAGGGGAGAGACTGAATGAACAGTGTTGTCATTTGTGAGACAGAATAGAAATTATTTTTAAGTAGGCCAATAGCAAAACAGTATAACATACCCTGAGAAGTGAAAGCAGTTATAATCCCTCTGTTCCCCCAAATCCAGGCAAATCCAAAAACCTCCATACCGCTGACTCAGTGGCTGGTTGAGCAGACGCATCAAGCCCTGCAGAACCCAAAGCCCTGGACAAGCTCATAGCGAAGAGCGTGGGAAACAAGCCGACGGATGTCTGTGCCCAACGCACATGAACAGATGGCAGCAGCAAACAGCCCATCCACACCGTCCCTGCACTCAAGCATCTTAGGAACTTGTGAGCCCAGCCATATCAAGCTCAAATCTGTACCCATGAAGGACAAGAGGGAAGAACCTGGCAGGCAAATAATACGATGAAGAGATTGATACCAAGCCACACATGAAGCTAAAGCCATCCCAAAATGCTTTGATAAAACTCGTGAAGACATTTAATACCCCCTAGAGCAGTTGACTGCAGCACCATCTTTCATTGTGGGTAGAGATTATTTTTTCTAACATAGATTTCTACTCACAAAGCTTCCTCAGCATAGAACTGCAACAGCTGTCATTTACCTGATGCTCTTCCTCAGGAAATCATGTACAATTTTTAAACAACTAATGCAGGGTGCCAAGAAGAGACATGTCCAAATATAACATTTTGAGTATAGGAGATATGTGCTGCAGTGAAGGCACAAATAAACTGTGTCCGAATTTTCCTTCGTAGCACCCTGCACCAGACCCTATACAAACTATGTCCCTGCATAGAGATGAAACAAGTGTTCACACTACACACCATTAATGAAGAAAACCAGCAAATCTCAGCACTCTGAATAGCAAGAAAACATAGATAATGGCCATAAACGTATTTCAAACTCACTCTCAAATCCATCAGTCCATCCCAGATAGCTAACATCTTTCCCATAATCACATCACTAAGCATCACGGGGTTTTTAAGACAGTTCTGAGACATTGGTGAACAGAGAATATAATAATGGCACTCTAGCTGGAGGTGTACCTCTGTGGGTATGTCCACATCTGGAAGACCTTTCTTGTTTAACTGAACGTTTACTCAGCTCCAAAAATACACATCACCATAGGTCAAAAGAGCTTTAACTGAACTTAAGCCAAACCAAAGCTCTGAGGCAGTTATTTGTTTGGAAAAATAACACACTCGTCGTTCATGGAGAGTTGCTTAGCAGTGATTCTTTTGCAACTTCTGCAATGACAGACACGTGATTTGTGGTAAAACACAAAAAAGGTGGGAAAAATTATCTGAGACCGTATTTCCTCTCTATATTTGAGAGGGACTCGCCTGAGTTTGAGATGTACTGGGACTTGGTGGCAGGGGTAGGGGTCAAAGTGTGAAAAAGTCACATCTGCTTAAAGCCTCATCAGCTGGGGCTGACTCACCAGAGAAAAATTCTCTCTTGACCTGTGGGGCAAACGCTACTCACATGCCATAGAAGCACAGACAGCATCCACATTTTTCTCCTGTCATCAGGGTTTTCCTTTCCCAGAAGCATTCCCGAGGAAGTGAACTAGCACGATCTGTTTTTTACCCGAACACTAGAACAAAAACATTAGACACGACTCTGCATAATCTTACCAAGCATCAAAATTGCTTTTAAGACTGCAAACACAGCTCCCACTTCTATACTGTTGTGAGCAGCAGCCAAGAGGTGACGATCGCAAGAAGAACGAATTCCAGGAAATAATTTCCCTATGGAAAGGAGAGTAAATCTTGTAGAAAATGGTTGAATTTACCAACTAAAATTTCCTTTGCACAAAATCCTTTTCATCTAGAATAGCTATAGAAGTACAATAACTGAATGAAGAACTGAATTTTCTGAAATTGAAACTGAAGACCAACAGGCAAGTCATTAAAATCAACTGGGATACATGGTTATGATGTATTAATATCAAAATAAGCTATGATCGTTTAAACAGAAAAAGGAGCCTGTCATTTCACTGTGTCCATGTAAACAGTGAATTTAATCACAATGAGACACCGAAGCATATTTTGGTTTTGACTTCACAGATTTAGGAAATTACTTCCCTCACCTAGTCTTCACAACAAATGAGGCAAAATTAATTAATATAAATGCCTGTTGCACAGTTAGGCCTAATTCTGCAGCTCAGAAGCAGAATGCCAAAGAAGTCAGTGAGTGCTTTTTCTAACTTGAAGGAGAAGATAAACAGACTGAAAGACAGGGAGGGAGAAGGGAAGGATGAATCTACCACCTTTCTGAGATGGTTAACTGAGCCATATGTAAGAAAAGTCTGTAACATGGTCACATTTTGTTTCATTTGTAGTACTTCCTAGAGTTCAGACATGATTTTTCCTATCCATTCAACTCTATTGTTATTTCTAGGGAAGCCTGGGACCATGTAAAATATTTCTGTCACTCAGACGGTATTCTTCACAGCTCTTACTTATTTTGCTCGAATATGCAACAAAAGCTCATTCATTTCTGGTCAAAAAAAGAAACAAATATTACTTTTAGATGGAAGAATTTTACACCACTTAACAGCTGAAAAAAATTTTTTCTTTCAATTTCATTTTCCCCACACAAATAGTCTTGTCATTAAATTTGTTGAAATGCTTATAAGTCAAAACACAGGTTATTTCCAGTCTTGTTTCCTTTTAATTGTTAGGTGCTTGTTCCTTGCCCTTTTCCTTCCTCTTTCGGTCTGTGGCAAACATACACAGGTCAGACCACAGAGTATTCAAATTTAAAAGGAAAGAGAACTACACTAATTCTGAGATTTTTGAATACAAATATTCTGAGAACTAATTTCCTCATGTTTCTTCTGTTGGACTAGATGCTTTATTATACCCTGTTTAAAATCACATTTAATTTCAATTTACATGCAAGGCTACCAAACTGCATGATGTGTATCCCTATTAGTTTCGGTATCACTGCGAGATGACCCACTACAGGAGCTGTCACTGCCCCGACAGTACTTAGTACAAAGGGGGACTGTGATACGTACTACCGTTGCCAACAGCAGCACCGGCACAAAAACAGTGTTAATAGGTCCCAGGCTCACATGACTGTTTCAATGAAATTCCAAAACAAAATGAGAACTATCAGGACAGGACAGTTGTTCTAAATGTATTCCTCTTTGCTGAGGTGTACACAGGTGCTGTGTTAAAACTTAATTTTCTTTTTTAAGGTGTAATATTAATATGGCTGAGTTTTATGTCAACATTATGGCACACCTGGGTTTCAGCAAACTTCTATAGTTTTACATGCATATAAAACATTTCCCAAACAAGTAAGAATAGTATATATCAACTTTTCACTAGTGAAACATCTGTGATTTTAAACAGGCTATCATTTCTACTTGCACTATGGATATTTTCACACATGAAATCTGAAGCCATCAAAAACCATCTGGGTTCACTTTCTGAAATGAAAGGACCACGCAGCAGGCAACTTACCGGTTCCCTGGGGAAAGAGGCAGACCTGGGGTGTCCTGAAGAGGTGCAGGAGTAGCCGACAGGTCATCCTCGCCCCGGGCTCGGCATCCGGATCTCCACAGGCTACGGAAGATGGGACATGGACATAAGGCATCTGCCCAGGACCTCACAAGTCCCAGTGGCAGGCCTGGAAATGTTCTACCTCACAGCCCCATTTTTAATGGGAATACAATAATTTCATCAACAGGAATCAGCATTTATGGCCTTGAGTCATTAAAAAACAGGAAAGAATAGTCTGATTTTGGTAAGCAAGAGACCTAATTAATGGCAGAAAAGAATGTATGGTTAAAATGGCTTTTGACAGTCAAAGCAGAAATAAGAAACACAAATCCAAGCAGAAAGTGAAAAGAAATGTGTGAAGTGGCCAATAAAGAGGACCATAGCTACAGTACTCCAGGGCTGGAGGTGAAGACAAGGTCAGAGAGAAAATGCCAACCTCAGGCAGACTGATGCCAGAAGGAAATGCACAATCTGAGCAGATCTGGCAGACTTTTGAGCATATAGCATAGAGCAGAAAAGAGTCGTGAGCAGAAGGTGAGGCTGCATAACAGAAGGGGACAGTGCAGTGTCAGCAACTCTGATAGCACTTGTCACGTGTGGGTTCTCTGATCTAACTTGGTGTCACTCCTTTTAGGAACTGCAGGGACACACGCACTGCAATGCACAATAGGTGGCATTCCATACAAGAACGCAGTTCAGAACACACTACTTATTCAAGCCATGGAGATTTCTTAAGTCTTAAGTTTTTCATTTTAAGTTTTTCTCTTGGTATTTTCTTACCAGCTGCAAGAAGAGAAGGCAGTGCAACATGCTGAACTACATCTTCCAGAGAAAAGCACTGCCGGGCTATCAATATAGCAATAAAAGTGGCCAGGGAATCGTGGAATGACAGGTCACTCACCTTGAAGGAAAAACATTGCAAGGCTTCACATAACAGTGCACACACCACTGCCATGATTATTAAGGAATTAACTAGAAGAATAAACCGTAAAATGTTTACACATAAGCATTTGTCTCTACATTTTAATGCATTTCCCAAACATTTTATGGCAAATACTGATAGCTCTTAACTTAATTTTAACAAACACCTATTTCAAATACCACAAATTAATTCTGCAATAAAAAACATTAGTCTTATAAAAAACAGAGAAAATTTTATCATTCTATAAAAACTGTAACATCAATACTCATTCCTTAGCTTCAGGACAAGAATATGTCCCCAATGTACACAGCTTCAATCTGTTCCTAAACTATAGATAAATATATGGAATCAGATATTGGATAACATTAGTCACCGTAATCCTGCTGACTTTAACAGGACTACAGTAACTTACACCAGGTGAGTAAGGAACAGCAAAGTGTACCACCCCTTCTACAATCTAAGAGCCAACACCAAAACAGGGTCTTGAAAATAAAGATAGTTATTTGCATATCCATCAGCATTTTAGAAAAAGTATATGGACATGCCTGCTCCTTTCAAAGAGTACCTCTGATATTCCGTATCATTCTGTAACGAAGAAAAAAAAATTTACAAAGAGAAAACTCTAAGCACCGCCCAAATTCTACATTAACCCTGAAGATGTAGGAAAGAATAAAAATCAATCAGGAATCTCATTAAAAGCCTTGAAAACTCAAATGGATACAGGACTGAATTTGGGCTCAGCATTTTGTATTGAGTGGAAACCTTACTATACTTCTAAGCACACCCTAGGCAAATAGGTTTAACAAGTACTTCAGAAGAGATTGAACTTACATCCACACTGCAGAGCAGATCATTGAAACCCCAGACATGATTTGAAGAGCAGCAAAGAGCTTTTACGACCCCTAACCACTCTGAGCTAAGCACCGTGCAGCATGCCGTCAGCTCTGCGCAAAGGTTTGCTATGTCATTAATCCTAGGAAAGAAGAGAAAAACTAATACAGAAGCAAGATGTTTTGTAAACAATAAATATTTAGGTCAAAGCAGATCAGCGCTTGGCAGAAGAACTGGTGTTTCCTTACTTAAGGTGGGGGTTTAGGTCCAAATGTGGTTTATGCTACTGTACATACAACCTAGTGTTACTCAGTTGTAGCAACTGGAGCATCTGAAAAAAAAAAACCAGTATGTGACTTGTACCCCATAACTTGCATCCATCCAACATACAGTAGCATAGGGCCTTTATTTTGTGTACACCCTACTTTTATACGCCCTGTGTTCATACCAGCTTTCCTGTGCTGAGCTGCCCAGGAAGAGGGATGGAGCACCCAAAACCCCGCTGCCTGCAGCCCACCATGATAGATGACCTGCCCCTCTCTACAGGGGCACACTCTGGCCTTTCCTTAGTGCTGCCACACAAACAGCAGCTCCATCCTCTTTCATGCAAAAATGCCACGGGAAAGTGGTACGTGTGGCGCGCATCTCCCCAGCCCCCAGGTCAGCAGTGACATCTCACTGCAGGAGCCCTCCCTCCCTGTGCCAGGCCAGCACTACTGTTTAGGAGGGAGAAGAGAGTCACAAACTCAATTGGCATTAATGAATTGTACTTCATAGATGAGCATACTGTGTAACATATGATTCGGTGTATGATTCAGAGTTATGTAACATTTTAAAAAACAGAGCAGACTTGACTCATCCCAGTGCAAGTTATTTTTTCTCTCTTCCACAGTGAAACTCGTCTGGCCAGATTTAGATGTTCCCCTTCATTGCTCTTACAAAACTGCTTCCTCTTAGCTGCTCTGCTCTACCAAGGATGCCCCACATTTCACAGAATCACAGAATGGTTTGGGTTGGAAGGGACCTTTTTAAAGATCATCTAGTTCCAACCCCCGTGCCATGGGCAGGGACATCTTCCACTAGATCAGGTTGCTCAGGGGGAAAAAGCGAAACGGGGAAAAAGCGAAACGGGGAAAAAGCGAAACGGGGAAAAAGCAAAACGGGAAAAAAGCCCGCAATTTCCTTGAGTTTTGTGATCTTTCAGCAACCTTTAAAAAGACTGTCAACTGCTGCTGCATCTAGGCCTAACTATCAAGACCAAGAATTTCTTAATAAAAATTGGAACAGAATCAGAACAGAACACCAAGTTCTGGTGGTTTTGATTGTGTAAGAGGAGTAAAGGTGCTGTGGGCAGAGGTGAAGGCTAGATCCAAAAATCAGTGTCCGTTTCACCCTGCCTCACAGACTGCAGAACGGAAAACACTGTACTGCTACATCTGCACAAGAAGGTAGAGTTTATATGTTTACACACTGGAAGGAAGAAGCAACTAAGAGAAGAACATCTGAATTACAAATGAAAACATACTGTCAGTGTAAAACCCTGACACTGATGTTAAGCTGTTTTACTGCAAAGGTTCTTCACTGTATGTCTTGCCAGTACCTTGAGATCACCTAAAAAGATCCAACATAGACTTAAGACCCAAGAAGTGTCGTGCTGGATCAGACCAAAGTTCCACCTGACTGTGACAGGAGCCAGCACCTGCTGGTGTCAGAGGACAACCACAATAAGACAGTGCTGGACAACCTGTTGAAGTGCAGATCTCATCCTTAACTCTAATCATTGGAGATCGACTTGAACTGTGCACCGTGAGGTCCAAGCTACTCTTAAAATATAACTGACAGCTGTTATAACTCTAGTAGCTTCTATCCAATAAAACTCTTAATACTTTTTAAAAAATAATTTTGGAAAAATCTATATATTACCTATGAAGATGAATGCCATAATTAGTAAGTTACACATTTAATAAATTAAACACCAATTGCATCAGAAGAAGGAAATGACCTAATGCAGAACCTTCCCTCATTTACAGGCTTCTAATGAGCAAAGATTGTGCTGAGCTGTTCTGTCTGAAATGGCACAACTGCTGATACAAAAAGCTTACTGACTGTTTTACAGTGAGTTCTTTCTACTTGTTACTCGCTTCTGTTAAATTATGCAGATTGATTTAATGAAATAACTCAGAGGAAACTTAATAAATTTTCAGCAACCAGAAAGAGAAATGAATGAAAACAATTGCAAAAAAGACACAAAAAAAAAAAGGTGAAAGGAAACCTCATATATACCATGTAAAAATCCATCCAATTCAGATTCCAGCACCATTTCCCTTACCTTCCTGCATCTTGGTGCCCCATGCACACATTCATTAGCGCATTGCAGACAAAGCTGTAGCGGTTGGCTGCGTTATCACTCAGGATCTTGCCCAGCATTGAGTAGTTAATGCTGTGAGCAGAAGGATTCTCGATAAAATCTAGCATGAACTCTGGGTCCCACAGTAAATTGGAATTTGAAGGCTGAACATTGCTGTATATCGTTTGCTTCACCTTAGAACAGGCACTACTGAGGACAAAAAAAAAAAAAAAAAAAAAAGAGAGAGTTGCCAAAAAATGTACTTTGCAGAAATACTGTTGAACATACTGTGTGGGATTAGAAAATCCTAGTTCAGTTACCATTCTGTACACATTTTCAAACTCATTTTTGATAAGGAGCATCTACCAGAAAATAAGGCTGATACATCAATTTCATTCAAGTTTTCCTGCAAATAAAGTCTCAAGTTTCCAAATTGCTTCTATGACATTTCTATGACTGAAATTGTGAGCAGCTGGATAAGGACCACACATTCATTCCTCACTAGCAATAACATCCTGGAGCATCAGGTGCCTCCCCATGAACTATAACAGTGCTTCACAACACTGCTCCCCCTCTTTATGTGTTATGACACAGTGAACTGCAGTGGTGGTAAGAAGAATTAGTTAAGGAAAAATGAGAAAATGTATCTAAATTAAAAACTCTACATTCGGTAATAATGTAGACAGACAACTTTTTGAAATATGAAATCAGTGAACAGAGAAAAGATACTTAAAGGTCATATTTTGACATTAATAACTATGACAAAAGGTCAAGAAATGTTCCATGCTAGGAATACCTACATGTTAATTGGCTTTCTACAGGGAAAAAAAAAAGGTGTTAATGAAGAATGCAAATTTCACACACAAAATGTTCTAAGGAGCATTTCTCTCAAGCGTTGGGTTTTATACCACAGCTGGAAACAACATCCATATGGACAAACTTCAGTAATTATCCCAACTGGGAAGACTTCATTACTGAAAAAAAATCTATTAATTGAAATTAATTTCAAATACGTGAAACCTTTGGAACTTTTTAGAACTCCACTGGCCCCAGGATGAAAAGACAGAGGAAGCACTGTGCTGCCTGGAAGGTATCTGTGACCTCAGGAAGGATGGTGATATGTGCAGCAGCGCCTGGATGCAGGGCTTGGAGGGCACCCCTGGGGACACCCTGTCACTGCGCAACCCCTGCACACTGCTGCTGCTCCTCGGGATGCTCCAGGGCAGAAGGAAGAGGCCATTAGTAAGATTATTAATCTACAAGAAGGGTAATGCCTGACGTTAACCCTTTGCTCTAACAGCCAGTGTAACAGCAAAGAAATGGGCTCTCATGCACCAGCATCCTGGGCGCATATATGTCCCCGACACTGTCATCACAGCATTTACCTACACTTACCCCATGGATCACAGAAAGAAAGGTCCAAAACCCAAACAATACAATACTGAGTATGTGAGCAAAGCAGCCTCTGAAGCTGTACTTGCATAAGAAGTGACACTGGGGGAGTGGTCAGAAGATTTAAAAAAAAAAAGTGAAGGAATGATTTAAAAAAGGAAGTTTAGCGAATACAACTAAATATACCAAGCATACTAAACCAAAACATGCAGCTCACTTAGTAAAACCCAGTCATGAGAAATACTGCAGATGATATTAGAAGCCACTTCGAAGCACTGCAATATAAGGAAGGTAAGTCTCTAAATTTGAACATTTATGAACTGTACTTTATTGTCGTTTCAAATTGACTTAAAGAAATAGCTGGACTTACAGCGTGCTAAAAAGGAGCAAAAAAAGTTGCTGTGTACAGACAACTGCTTTTGGTTTTGTTTCAATTGTTGCAAGGAAACCAAAAAGAAAACGAGTGTAGCACTATTACCTTGTAAACAACTGTTTAGAAAATGTATACATAAATTTTGTTACCAATTTTCAGAGAATTTCTAACTCCACTTGTCTGAAAAAAGGGGCTTCAAATCAAGTGCTGTATATCACTTCTTTAATATATGATTTAATACTTTAACTATCTCTCTATTACTAGACGATGTTTTGTTTTGCTATTGTAGGTTAGTATTAATAAAAATGTTATTTTTTATTGTGTTACTGAACTTGAGGTTTTAAGTAGAAAAATGAACATATAGTTAAGACGCTTCTGTAGTGCTTCTATATTTCATATTTCCTTTTCCTAGTGTTTCTCATATTAAATGCTACTGTTCCCATGTATTTGTAAACCTATTAAAGTATTATTACTGAGAACTCTTTTCCTGCTCCCTATGAAATGAAAACCACAAATCTGAAACACGCAGACCAAAACCAGATATATGAACTAGGAGGGGAGACAGTAACTGAAGTGGTTTGTAACTCTCACAAGATGCGTATTTGCATATGAAAGGTTTCCACTCCCCCTTTAAAAAGTAAGAGCCAAAAATACAGCATATGGGTACCTAAGGTATTTTTTTAATTTAAAAATCAAGGAACTGAACATTCGAGCATAAAACTTCACGAACTCAAACATGTTTGTGCCTCTCCCCACATCAAAGGAAATATTTAATAGAATATTACAGCTGTGTCAGCTAAGATTTTGTTGTTTTCCATCCAACATTGTATGTATTACAGCCGATTTGCTAATGCATTATAGAAACCAAATCAGTCACATCACAGTCTGCGAAAGCAAAGGTGTGTGGGGAGGGGTCCAATGCTGCGCGGCACTGCTGCCTCAGCAGCTGACCTGACACTGACAGTCCCTGCTTCCCTCGCCCCACGCCTGCTCGCTGCGTGCAAGCACTGCTTCCTGAAGCAACCCGCTAAGCTAATCACAGCACTGCAAGGAGGGCTCAGCCTCTGCTCCTCCATGGCAGGTACTGGCACAGCACGAGGACTTCACAGGCTCAGGACCACATGCTGTGCTGCTGCACTGGCATGGGCAAGAGAATTGCATCAGTAAAGGCAAAGCAGCAAAGACAACAGCATATTTTCCACAGAAAGCAAACCAAACTGAAACCACAGCAGCCTGCATCAGTCTACAGACTAGGCAGTGGTGAGAAAAATCCCATTACCACCCACCTGAAGAGGTCTCCAAACTTGCTTCTCAGGTGACTACAGGACACATACAGATCATAGAGGTAAGCTAAAATACACCTTTCTGGGGAGGAACACTCTGAGGGATTAACGACGTGCTTTACCACCCCACACAACCTGCAAAAATAAAATCATTCTGAGTTCGTGCCAACGCACCTTAAAAATGTGTCTCATGTTGTTACATATCATATAAACCCCACCATTAGCTGGGCAACATGATGACAGTCCTGGCATCTACAGGCTGACAGGGCTCACGTGAAGTTTGGTGTCACCTGTGCGCTTGCCTGGGCCCCAGGGACAACAGGACACAGAGGCACTCAGGGAGCCCAGGGCAGAATGGGGCGAATGGGTAGGAAATCAAGATACACAACTCCCCCCTTTTCCTAGGTTACAAAGTGTGCAGGTCCTACCAGCCCCCAGCAGTGGGGAGCAGGCTGCAGAGGTGAGCCATCCGCTCCACTCACCTGAGCTCACTTACAGCCTTCCAATAGCAGTGTGATAGTTGGTCTCACTAGCTGAACCGAAACGCATTTTTTGCTTAAGAGAGAACACCAAAAATACTTTTTGGAAAATTGTAGCTGCCACAAACCCTTCAAAGACTTGTGCAGTTTGCTCTGAGTTGAGGATGAGGCAGGCATGGTAACGCCGCAGAACGGCGACTATGCAGACACACAGTCCTGTTGTGTAGCTTCCTGCCAGGCTGGACGACTTCAGCAGCAGCTCTGCCTCCACAACGCTCAGCTCGTTCAACAACTGAAAACGCATACACAAAAATAATGAACTGAAAATAACTTCCAAGTTAAACATGTAAAATAGATGCAAAAAAAAACCGCATTAAGGAAAAACTATATGGCAAACAAAAATGAAGTTCCTTATTCACTACAGAACAAGGGAATGAGGGAGCAAAATAAACTGTTACATATAAAAAAACGTCTCTCAGAACTGCTCTTCAGAAATACATGGCATTTCTGGCACCCAGATGCTTTACTGTGTAATATGATGGTTCAGTCCGAAACAGTGAAGCCCATTCTAAAATACTTTGTGCTAAAATAATTCAGAATTTTATTGATTTTGAAAGATTTAAAAATAAAATACATCTATTGATTTTCCATACTTGTCAAAGTAAGACAGAAGGGGAGGTATCTGGCACTGTTTCAGAGGTCAGGAAACTGAAACAGATAAAAGCGCATGGCAGCCAATCAGGAGGATTTGCAGTCCAGCTTTTGGTTTTTTTCTGGGTTTACAGAATATGTATGACAGCTTTATCCTGACCTAACCTGACCCGCACCCCCCCCTCCCCCCCCAAAAAAAAAGGAACTCTGTTTACCTGTATTGCAAAGTCTATAAGTCCATTGATATTCAGTGCTGGCTCCATGAGATCAAAGATGAGCTGTATATGGTGAGCCAAGGGAAGATGATATGACGTTCCTGAGGCAAAACTAGTTATCTGTTCAAGAACATTACTGGAGATCTGTGAAAATAAATGTTGAAAAGTCATATGGTGACTGAGGGCTTTTCAGATACACTAGTGCTCCAAAAATCTTATAAGTAGTAATAGCAAGTGACAGCATTTTGCAGATAAAAGCACTAACAGATCATGCATGAGTATATCTATTACTCTACTATCCTGCAAGTCAGTCGAAATGCTGTTTTATTTTCAAAATTGACAACACAGAAAATGCTGTTCTGCTGCTTTACAGCTGAGAGTCAAACTGTTCTTAACATCTACAATACTGATTTTTATTCTGCGGGGTATTTTGCTTTAAAGAAGAGGCAAAATAATTTTTCTTTTCATCCTACTGCATTGTGATTTCTTTATTGATTGTTTTCAGATAATTAATAACACGTTATCCTGCAAACAAAACGTAATAAATTCATTCAAAAGACCAGATCCAAAGATGTCTTATAAATTATCAAATGTGTACCTCTTACTTTTTTTCTTATGTTAGCCTCTGGTTATTAAAATATACTTAAAAACAGTAACGCCTGACAAAGTGATGAAATCCTATACTGATACATTTGCACACTTACACATCTGAATATAAACCAGGAAAACTAGGTTTGTCATTTAAAACAAATTATTTATGTTCTCCAGTCAGCCACTGATATAGCTTTTTAACAGTGAAGGTTTACTATAAATTCTAATATCCAGAAAAGAACAAACTGTATTATCCACTAGCTTCTCAGAGAGACATACTCTGTTGCACAAAAACACAGAAGAGTTCACTGTCCTTCAGAAACACAGATACAGTAACATATCTTATACATATGCAAGAGATTGGTTAATAAGTATCTAATTTACCAATGAGCCCCAAACAATGTTGTTAATGGGAATTTATGTAAAATTTATTTTAATTTTTTCATTAAAAAATCGTGACATCTATAATAATCCAGAAAGCTTCTTGCAAAACAGGCAAACAAAACCCCCCAAACAAACAAACCAAACCAAACACCCAAATATCTACTGAAGCCAGTATTTTAGAATACCAAGGCAGCATTTTTTCTCTTGCCTTTGAATAAGCAGTGCACTGAAAATTCTTGGTATATACAAAACACTTCTAAAAACCTAGATTTGCTTCCTATTTGATATCTCTACAGCAGACCATAAAAAGCTACGATGTTATACAAGGGAAGTACCTGAGATGTCACCTGATGTTGATCAAAATAGGACAGTTGCTGTAGTTTTGTGAACACGGTCTCTAGGGTTGGAAATGCTTCTTGTTTGGTCTTCCTGGCTTTTTGCCCTTCATCCCCAACTTAACAGATAAAAAATTATTTTGGTCATTTTATATTTAATGGAGCCCTAGTAGTTTTGCATTATTATTGATTTAAAAGATGATAAAAATCTTAATAAGCTTTACTCATGACTACATAAAACCCAACTTGCCTCAGTTTTCATTATACTTGGGACAAACGTATGCCAGAGCATGTAGCAATATCAAAGCTACTTCAAGGTTATTCCAATGCAAAAAGGTGATACCCAAGAAAAACTGAAAAACAGTCATCTGTTTTACTAGGAGGGTAAGGAATATGTATCACTCGCTGGCCAGCATCTCATATTCCAGGCTTTAGCCTAACGCAAGTGTTTACAGCCAAGTTGTTATAATGGAAAATAGGGATTTCTAACCACAGTGGCCCTTTGCCGTCCTGGCGCAGCCATAAGGCAGGCCAGCAGATTGCACTTTGTGCTGCGGGACTCTGGTCAGTACTTCACCCAGTGACTGTGAAGGGGATGAAAGCCAAATTACATGATCAACATGCATGGCTCCAGACAACTTGCTGAGCACCTCACAGCTCCCGTGATCTTCGCTACAGGCTACCATACAGCAGCGTTAAAGCATTTACCACCCATTTCAGTAGTACTCTTCTTATTCAGAATTTTGAGGATGTCTTTGGTAATCTTCTTCAGCTGATGCCTTGCTTCATCACGCTCCTTACCAACGCCATAAAGGAGAATCATTCGCTGGTTACACTCATGACTTGAAGATTCATCCTGAAAAGACCAGATACGAGTGAAGTCTCTTTTCTTTTCTCTGTCATCACCTGCAGAAACCCAACCCAAGTAGACTAGACTGCAATAAACAATAACTAACTCTTCATCACAAAAAGCATCTCCTGTGGTTATCAGTGTGGAGGAAAACAGTGCCAAATGAAATCACTAAAGAGTAAGGTAAAAATACAGAAGGAAAAAATGTAATCTGATATTATGAATTCTGTATGTGTCTGTAAGGACAGTCAGACGACGCATACAGATGACCCTCCTAACTGTCCCCTGGACTGATACTTGGTAGCAGATTAGTAAATAGAAGACAGTTGTCTAGAAACTGTGTGACGTTTCTCTTATTATGTACAAGTCCATTGAAAAAAGATGCAGCCCAACTCCTAAAATTTTATTTTGCACATCTCAAAGAAATTGAAATATGTATAGTTTATTTAAATGGTAACTGGTTATATTTAGTCTTTTAATAAAAGGTATCGCATAATGTTGATGCACTGTATATAACTTAAAAACTTTGAGCACTGCTCTGCAAGTCACATAAGTATAAATATTTTGTTCAGTAATATACTTACCTTCTCCAAACTAACCAATCACTACTTCTTTCAACTACTTAAAAAGTTTTTAAAAAATAAGACTGTGTACAAAAATAATACTAAAGAACCACAAGGCAAAAAGGTAGTAGACGGGAGTGCAACTCTACCCTCAGAAAAGTTGCGCAGTCTTACAAAATACATGCTCTCCTTTAAAAATAGTGACTCTTAGTAGGTCAAAAGCAGGAAGTAAACCTCTAATTATTTTAAAAATTCTATTTCTCTCTCTCTTCTAGAGGAAACAAAAGCAGAAGCACTGAGAGCATCACCTGGAATTTGCAGCTGTCTCTGGCTAAGAAACCAGTTCGAAGCCAGAGGAAGGTCTAAATCTCAGAACTGGGACGCACAGCTGCTCCTCCAGCCTCTCCTTACTCCGTGAGATTTAAACATGAACACTCCTGCCTACTCACACGGTGAAGAGCTAGAGGAACTGCAAACAACCCTCCATCAGCAACACTAGCTTCCCATCACAGGAAATACCCAAGCGTTTCATCACTTCTCAACAGCACGCTACGGTAATCTCCGATTTTGGGGTGGGGGGAAGGTGTCTGATTTTGCATGCTTAGGGAATACTTATTTCATTAGGATTAGACTTGGCAGCTGAATCTGTTACGTGCTTCAAAGCATAAGCCAATTTATTTCTATCTTACAGATAGAAATAAAACTTTGCAGCTCTGCAAGGAACATGTCAGGGATGTTTGTTTGACAAAGCATCAACTCCCTTGAGTGCCTTATTTTACAAAGGCAAAGATCATGCAGAAATATAGCAATTTTTAACAATTGCATCACTACACATGTGAAAGTTACTCCTTTTGAAACACAACACTGATTCAACATCCCTGCCTGGCTTTGCCAGGCAATCAGTTCGGATCAGACCTGATCTGATCAAGGTTTTCGGACTAAGAGCAACAGTCTTCAGCCCAGTCCCTGTTACCAGTTACGTGGATGCCAGCTGTTCAGTGTTTGTGGATGGATGGATGGCCGACACGCTCTTGGTTTC